GTTTCTTCTTTTGATTCGCATTCGATAATTGAGGGGATGGGCTGCGACGCCACTATGATACCATTATGATACCATTATGATTCCCCGATTGCTGACTTGCGTGCGAAACGAGCACAGGTAATCGACAGATAATTGATTGATGATTGACAGATGACTGATAAATAACCGCGTGGATGCTCTGAATATCGATCAGGGACTTCGAAGCGAGGGAAAGAAACTCATGCGGGAGCATTTGGACGAAACCAGCCGGAAAATGGGAACATCGAAGTCTAGGCAACGATCGAGCGAAAAGAAATTTCAAATAACGTCAGCATCGAGATCGATCGGTGCCAGAAGTGACAAGACAGTTCCGTATGGATCGGAAAAGTCGCTGATATCTGCTTTTTTATTCCCATTTCGACTGGGAAATTATACTGGTGATAATATGGGAATCCTCTTTAAATTAATAGAAATTGTTTATTATTAATTATTAATTATTATTTATTTATTCTATTTTTTATTACTCATTTTAGTTGATCCTCGAATTGCTGGCATTTAAAATTTTTTATCATGTGAAATATTTTTGACTGACTTTCAAGAGTACTTTTTTTTTCCTACTTTCTCATCCATCTACGCAATCTCGCCCATTAAAAGACCATGAACGTTCCTCTGACCCAAATTTTAATCGTTATTTTGGCCTCACAGCAAATTCATTTGAGAAACGAAATTAAGGCCGAGGTCGTCGGGGATCCATATGCGGTATGACACGCATGAATGGACTCGATGGATTTTTAACAAACCCCCGAGGGTAAAAACAAATACATTAGAAAGGACTTTCGTGGCGTATCCGGTTTTTCTGACGGGTGATTTCGCGGTATCGTGGCCGCGAACCGCCGCGATATCGTCATTTTTTAAGTTTTTTTTGAAGATTCGCCGGAGAGAAAAAAAATTGGGCGAGGAAACGGGAGCTTTTTCTGCCAACAAAGGGAAGAAAAGTGGCGGTGACTTTCTCACGCCACCCGTGAATACAAAAGAAAGGGACGATATTGGGTTTTTCTGTGGTTCCTTCCCACTGTGTTACAAATGGGTCCGCATGAAAGCCGGAGAAAGTTTTCTTTCCTTTTTTTTGTTGAAGATGCTGAATGGCGGGGATGCCGGCGTTGAGGTCTCCGAGCGCCGTCAGGGTCACGGACGATCGTCGACCGAGGAAGACGATGGGGGCGAAGAGGTCGGTATAATAATGATAATAAGAGTAAAATATGAAATAATTTCTTTTTTTATGTTATCGCGATGGAAGCGAAATGTGAGGAGAGGGGAACGTGTACCGATGAATCTCGTTCGCGGGACACTTTCGCTTCTGGGCGAGAGCAAGTCGCCCCGGAAACGACGAGGACGGGGAATGTCCTGTCGCGGACTGGGAAAACAGGAAATGGAGGGAGGAAACCGGAAGGAAACCGGAAGGGAACCTGGAGAGAACCTGAAAGGAACCGGAAGGATGAAGAGTGGAGAACGGATCCGGCGATTTCACTTTCCACCGATGGGATCCACCGGCTTTCTCGCCTTGCGGGGTACCGGAAGGCCCCCGTTTTCCCAGGGGCCGTTGCACAGGGGTCGCCTCACGGGGGTCGCCGCGCGGGGGTCGCCGCACAGGGGTCGATTCGTTTCGTTCGTCGATTCGAGGAGAAGGCGAGAGTTCGAAGACGGAGACGAGTTCTCGGCGCGTAAATTCGGCCTTGAGACCCCCGAAGTTAGAAATTCGCAAAGGTGAAGTTTCGGCCCGGCTCGTCGAGTTTCCCTGAACGAATCAGGATCGGAATCCTTCGATTTCAGGCCCTGGCTCCATCTCGACGAATCTCAAAGCGACCCAAGTGACCCAAATATCCGACCCACGAAATCTCGAAATCCCCTCGAAAAGGCAGCTGACTCAACCGGAAATTCCGGGGGAAATTTCCCCCGGAAGACCTTCCAGAGCCCCAGAAACGCTTATAAAATCGCCCCGAATCCGGATCCGGCCATATCGCCCAGAAATCTCAAACGAAAAAGGAAAGGCATGAAAAAAAAAGTAGTCTGGCTCACGAAGCGACTGATACAAACCCATAAAAATCCCATTGAGCCTCCTTCCTCCATTGAGCCTCTTTCCCTCATTGAGCCTCCAACCTCATTGATGACGACACGCGGGCGACGCGAAAGCCTTTCTCCTGCTTTTAAAGTAGGACTTTTCCTTTTCTCTCTTTCCTTCCATCATTGTCAGGATCGCGATCGATCCCCCCCCCCCTCCCCCCCCCCTTTCCCCCAAAAACTCATTGAAAGACTCATCTCGTAGTCGTGTCACGTCGGGGTGAGACGAATCCATGAATGAATCCAAATTACTTTTTATTATCCATTCGAATGTTCGATCGCGCGGTTGCAAACTTTTCCTCTGCCAATTTGTCGTTGCAGATCTTCACACCGATTGGCGCTTTGTCGGTGGTGAGACTTTGGTAAACTCACAGGAGAAAAAAAGTAGAAAGTAAGGGCTGAATTTGAAGAAGGCGGGAAAGGATGTAAATTTTTCCTCTCTGGATGCGCCTCAATTACGTATGGAAGTTTTATGCATGTATGCATGCGTGTTTGTATGCTCATTGTAATAGTCGGCGGTCGGGAGTGAAAGCGGCTTCACTCCTGTTTTTTTTTTCTCTCTCTCTCCGAGTCTGACGTTACGTTTCGGCCGAGGCGCGTTTCCCGCCTTTCACGAGGGGAGGGGGGGAGGGGGGGCCGGGGGGAGGGGGAGGGGGAGGGGGAGGGGGCGATCGCGGATGTCGAGGCGGAACCGTGTTGCAATCGGGAATCCGGGGAAGAATCGTTCCAAGAACGATTTTCCCGTCGGCGGCAAAAAATTTCCGGGGTGAAATTGGCCAGTCATTTTCCCAGTAATTCATATTATAATCCAATAATCCCACTCGATTTCGGCTAAATCCAGGAGGAAAATCCGGCGCTTGTCATTACCCGATTCGAATTATTCAAATTGTTGCCGGGTGAAAGGCAACGTGCATAATGAGCTCGCGATGATATCCGGATAAAGGGATTCCGCGATGGTACTTTCGTCCCGTTCGTTCCCATTTGCTCGTTTTTGGATGGTTAATGGGCGAGATGAGTCGGTCTTGAATGCAATTATCTCGGGCGTCATCAGCGTTTGGGCTGAGATTATTCGCACCTGTTCGAATGGCGCGTTTCCACGCAGTCTCGGCAACGTGAGAACCAGCTGGCAACATTTTTATCTTAATTATTTTCGTGATTTTCCTGCGTGCGGTGCGAGTTCCCATCCCTCACGGCCAATCGATCGATCGGCCGTTGCCAATCTCGAGTTTTCATGCTGCTACGGGATTCCAGCATTCCAGCGACGAATCTGCGACCTCAGGTCAAATGCCTGCGAAGTTCCGCCGATTCCTTCGCCTTTTAGGCCTGAAATTGACGAATGAGGGATTGGCACGGTCGCGAAGGTATTCTCATCCGATCGATTGAGAATCGATCGGATGAGAATAATTCATGCTGTCGGTCGAGAACTATCGTCTCAAATATCGAAATACGTGCAAACATTTGATGTAAAGTGATACGCATGTCCAACAGAATTAGATAAGATTTAAAAATTCCCTAGCTGTAGGCCCAACCGATTCTGACATCGAATAAGAACCTGCAAGACTCCCGTTCCTTATCGATACCTTTCGTTATCATCATTCTGCCACGTGAAGGCCTGCAGGTCTTCCCAACTCGATGGTAACAGCGGAACGAGGGAGAACCAGTTTAAGTTCCTTTTGGGGAAAAGGTTTCATCGACAGAGCAAAAGAAGTGAGCAATATATCCGAAGACCAGCACGCTCGCGCGAAACACTTACAGGCCTATCTGACACGTGCACTTTTCCTTGATCAAGGATGCCAATATGGGCAGATATGCCTCTTGACGCACACAACCAGTGGGCTGTTCGAAACCAGAGCTTGATCGCATGCTGGTGACCCCGACATCTGGCGACCCCCGTTGGAAATAGCAGTTTCTCCTTTTAGGAGTAGATGACGTTGAGCGCTGGCGTTCATTGTCAACAATATGGCGCCGCTCAGGTGACAGTGCGTTTTTCCACATTGGATCATGAGTTATTTCTTGGTTGTATGAGACGATTTTTACGCTGACTCAACGGATATTTTCATCTTATATATCTTCAATAGAATGCTTCTCGAGACCTGTGTTAAAGACATCGCCCTGCAGAATCCAGATCCTGTAGACTAGGATGTGTTAGGCCTAACATTTCACCTATTCGTTGAAATAGATAGGCTAGGGTTACCTCGTATATAGTGTCTAGAAGAGGATTTTTTTTTAGATATTTCAGATTTGGAGGGAAAGATGATTTGCTTAACTTATATGGCCATACCCGAAGCTTAGAAGCTTAGAAATGATACTTAATTAGGAAATGATACCATATATTCCCAGAAATACTTTTCTAAAATAGGAGAAATTCAGTTTGTAATGATGATTGAGTTATTGCGCAAACTTACCTGCCAGTATTAGCTGTCTTAGCGAGCCTCCATTCAGTCAAGCCTTTACCTGACTTACCTCTTCAATATGTAGTATTGTGGAGTTCTACTGCTTTCAATGGTACCTTGTTAGATATGTTAAATTGAAAGTCTAACATGCCCTATATTGATAACTACAGCAGTATATGAAATAAATTATTCATGTTTTATTATCTGCTATCTTTTTGAAGTGTTTGGAAATATCTTGCCAATTTCAGTTTTTATTGTATTTTTCAAAATTCATTTTGCCCCCAAACTGTGCACTTTTCACACAGATCCCTCTGAGGGAGTAAATTGAATGGAATACAGTCATATGAAACTTTTAAGGTCATGAAAGCAATTCCAGTGATATGAGACAGGTAGTGGTTCTAGGCATTGTATCTTATGCTTATTTTCTCTCAGAGATTTTGGGTATAAGTGTTGTGATCCCACAATGCCTATGGTTATATGTAGTTCTTCCAATGAACTTAGAAGCTTCTGTTACAGGAAAATATTTTCACCAGTGCAGGTCTATTTGAGAATCTCAGAATGACAACAAATGCTCCAACATCTGCAGACGCATGTCAGAGCATTGTGCACAGTCTGATGTGCCATCGACAAGGTGGAGAATCAGAAGGTTTTGCCAAGCGTGCCATTGAAAGTCTGGTGAAGAAACTCAAAGTGAGTCAGATTAATCACTGTCATTTTTGTGCTTCCAAGTAGGCTGCTACTGATTTTGAGTTTTTTGTTTTCCCCTTTTTATTTTTTAGGAGAAGCGGGAGGAATTAGATAGCTTAATAACAGCAATTACTACTAATGGAGCACATCCAAGCAAATGTGTCACTATCCAGAGGACACTTGATGGCAGGTTACAGGTGAGTTGAATGAAAGTCTTGAATTGTCTTGAAACTGTAAGACCATTGCTGAGTATTTGGTAATGATAGCTGCCATTTCTGAGCAGATTTAATTCCTGATCCATTGTTTTTATTTCAGGTTGCAGGGAGGAAGGGCTTTCCCCATGTCATATATGCTCGTATCTGGAGATGGCCTGACTTGCATAAGAATGAGCTCAAGCATGTGAAATACTGCCAGTTTGCCTTTGACTTGAAATGTGACTCAGTGTGTGTCAATCCTTATCATTATGAACGGGTGGTGTCACCTGGAATCGGTAGGTCGAGTTTTCTAACTCAGTAATTGAACTAGAGTGATATGGATTGACACTCTCTGTACTTGAATTTACATAGATCTATCCAGCCTATCTCTGTACCAGTCCAACGGAGAGAGCAGCAGTGGTCCAAGTGTTAAAACAGAGTATGGGAGCCCCCCTGGAGTGCCTGTGGGACCATTTGATGGAGGGACCCCACAAACCATTCAGCATTTCCCTCCTCGGAGTGGATCTGTGCCTTCCTCCAGCACTGTCTCAGATCCATTCACACGGCCTATTATGTCTGCATCTGCACCTGGTCCTAGTGCCATCATACAGGGTAAGTTACCAATAAGCAGCTTGCCACTCTTTTCATACAAACAATAAGAATATAAAATTTTAACCGGAATTCAAATTCCAATTGTACATCTTTGATTATTTTTGCTTCACAAGGTGATTGTTGCCTTGTCTTATGGGGCTGAATGGAAGTTGACTGCATCTATTGCCTAAAAGTTTAAATCTATGAGCTCCTGCTTCTGAGAGCGGTAGGAGACTGTTGTGTGACACTTGAAACACTGGTACCTGTACCACTAATTCTGTCTCATATGTGACATTCATGAGTTATTTCTTTGAACAACTCTTGAAACTGTTACTCCATTTGGTATGGCATCTAGTGGGTTGATTTATGTCAAGTTTCATTTGAATTTGATTCCAGGAGGACCACAAGGTTCGCCACCAATGCAACCAAGCCTTCACTCCCCAATACCAGAGGTAGCTCCAGTGTCACAGCAATCCCAGCAGTCAGTAGGCATGTCACCGTCTGCACCAGTGCAGGTGGCACCTCTGACTCCACAGACTCCTGGCAGCATGCCCCCAACTCCCAGCGGACCCCCTACCCCCCAACAACCCCAGTCTACCTTCTTTCCTCAGGAACATCTCCCTCATGGTCTGTTCTGCTTCTTTCTATCTTTCTTTTATTTCAAACTGGATTATTCATTTGGTACTTAGAGGACTCAAGGAGTAAAACTTTTGATGTATTGTTCCATGAGCTGAATGGTACTGGCAGGAATTAAATTAAATTTTATTTAATTTTCAGACGACCTTGTGTCGTGAGTCAACCAAAATCTATGAGGACTGGTGTCTAATAATTGAGTTAATTTCCGTGTCATCCATGTTTATGTCACCTACATTTTCGCAATCATTATTGTGCTACTATCATTTGTTGATTTTCACACTGTGGCACTGGTATTATGAAAGGCAACCCTTGCAAGTTGTAATTATTAGTTAAATTGAATTTTGTAAGATTTTACTGGATTACCTATCTATAATGGGTTGCTTGATGTCTGTCATGTGTCTCAAATGAGTAAAGGCTTGCAGAACTGATATGTTGCAGGCTGCCAAAGCATTTTATTTGCTCATTTTGATTTCTTATTGCAGGAGGGAGTGGTAACCTGACACTGAGCTTGAGCAACAGCAGCAGCACTGGGGCAGTAACTTTGCCAACTCAGGCAGTGGCAGTAAATAGCCAAACAGTTGCATCGGGAGGTGTGGTTTGCACGAGCCAGGCTGCCCTGTCCAATGGCTACCAGGGACCCATTGCCACTGCTGCCAGCTGTCAAGCCCCTGTTGTTTCCTGGCCCAACTCCTCCCATGCCACTCTCACCTACACCACCAATGGACCCACACATGGAGGCTTCTGTCAGTATCAGCCTCGTAAACCTCACCTTTTCCTTCCACTTTTGTTTTTTTCAATCAGAGGTTGTCTTGATAGTCTGTTTTGTCATAATAGCTCTTTGACAATGATAACTTCTTCACTAAGTGCCATATCTCATGTCATGTTATAAATTAGGAATGATTTTGATGGAGATTCTTAGTTGGTTGCCAGTTTAATTTAGCCATTGGCATCACAAGAATTGATTATTTCTTAATACCTGTTGTTCTCTTTTGCTAGGGGGACCAACCCAAGTTGAAGCTGAAGGTCCATTGAGCACCCAGCCTCCTCCTGAATACTGGTGCAGTATTGCCTACTTTGAACTGGATCAACAGGTAACTTTCCTTGCCTAGGTACTGTTGAGCTTACATCTGTCATTGTAAAGTACTGTATGAATTCCTGTTGTCTTTGACAGGTTGGTGAAACATTCAAGGTTTCATCCAGCTGTCCTTCTGTCACTGTGGATGGATATGTGGACCCATCTGGTGGGAGCCGTTTCTGCCTTGGGGCTTTATCAAATGTCCATCGCACAGAGCAGAGTGAAAAGGCCAGGTTTGTGTTTCATTTTTGCAAAATTGTGTAATTTGCATCATTGACCTTGAATGGGTATGCCTTTCAAGTTGGCCAAAGGCCTACCCATTCAGCATATGAGCAGGGATTAATTATTTTGAAAAAACCAATTGGAAAGTGTCAGTAAAAAATTATCCCTTTAATGAAGGTAAGAAAGATACCTAAGTTTTATTTTGCCTGGGTGAATGTCTGCTGAAAAAAAAATTATGGCTTGCCATACTGATGAAAACTACAATGGAATTCTAATTGACTGATGAAACAAGTTTTTGATAAACAATGACTGAGTAAGGAGATGAAGTGGAAGTTATGTCTGATGAGGATTTCAGGTCATGCTGTACAGCCTTGCATGAGCTGTATCAAGACTGATATAGCAGCAGAATAGATACTCTGTGCTTCACATGATTGATTGGAACTCTCACCTATTCAGGTCAGGGATCATGAGTATTGCTGCAAATATGTTGTTTGTGTTGTGATAGATTGCACATAGGGAAAGGGGTGCAGCTAGATTTGCGGGGAGAGGGAGACGTGTGGCTGCGCTGCCTCTCAGACCACAGTGTCTTCGTGCAGAGCTATTACCTGGACCGAGAGGCTGGCCGTGGTCCTGGCGATGCAGTACACAAGATCTACCCCAGTGCTTACATCAAGGCATGTACCATCCCTTTCCCTTCATCGCTTTCCTATAGTTGCTAACAGATTGTATATGGAAGATGCATTTTCTCCTCAGGTGTTTGACTTGAGACAATGCTACAAGCAAATGCAACAGCAGGCAGCCACTGCTCAAGCAGCTGCAGCCGCACAGGCAGCAGCCGTTGCCGGCCACATCCCTGGTGGGTGTATTGTGGGTCCACATGGTATAATGTCCAATGCCTGCTGGTGTTTGGCTTTAAGGTTTAGTGATAGAAGTAACCCAATTGACTGCCAAATGGAATGTCAAAACTTGGCAACATGTCTTTGAGTAATCCTTGAATCTCTCTTTTCAATATATATGTTGGTGAAACATGTCTTATATGTCAGTAAAAGCTGATACAGGAGTTGTTATTGAACATCTGATGCTGTTGGTGTGCAGTTTCGTGCCTGGGGCCAGGGCTGAACGCAGCAGCTGGGATCGGGGTGGATGATCTGCGCCGCCTGTGCATCCTTCGCCTGAGCTTCGTCAAGGGATGGGGTCCCGACTACCCCCGCCAGAGCATCAAGGAGACGCCTTGTTGGATTGAGGTTCATCTCCATCGTGCCCTACAGCTCCTCGATGAGGTCCTTCACACGATGCCGATCGATGGCCCTCGGCCCATCGAATGATCTTGCAACGAAACTGTGTAACACCTGTGCTCAAGGAAATTCAATATTCAGAGAGAGAGAGAGGTTTTTGCATAATCTCAGCGTAGTCGTCCCTTGATCTCGCGTCACACGTTCCCGGTCCGACGTGCTGACTGCAGACCCATGTAAGAAGATTAATTATATGCATTTATTGACATTGTTGGATATATTAAAATATAGGTTATTCTTATAGGCTGGTTGGGAAGTCCTTGTTTCTTTTGAATCTGTGAATCTTTGATATTCTGTCCAGTCACTTGAAAAAAAAAAGAGTTTGTTTTGTTTCTCTTCCTAACTTGTCTGTAGTGATTTTTGTTTCCTTTCGTCATCAAATATTCAGCTTTTGCTGTCTTTGTGTCAAAGAATTCCTATCTTTTAGTGATTGCTGTGGCAAATCAGGTGCTAAATAACACCTGCCATCAAATTTATGGCAGCAAATCGCTGTGGACTCTGGTCCTGCATGACCGTGTTTGTTGAAGAGTCAGATGATACTGGAGTCTTCAGTCGTGTTGGTTTCACTTTTGGGACACGGGCGGGCATGGATTCTGATTTGCTTGGTGCATGCAGATATTTTCCTCCATTGTCATTTTTGTACCTGAGGGATCTGGGATAAGATTTGCATCAAGGGAATTTATTTTGCTCTTCAGGCTTCAGCAACTTTTTTTTCTCTCTGGCACAAACTCGGTACGCTTTTCCAAGCACCTTCTCTCTCAGGCACGGGACCTCTGAACGAACTTTTCAGCAAATACTTTCTTCCAGTTACCAGAAACCTCATGTGCCTGCCTGCATAAAATGGCTAAGGCGACTCATCCAGGAAACCAATTTAAATCTGAATACTTTGTCCCTTAGCAGGATAATGAAGAGGGTGTGGATCCTACCTCAGTGTGCCCCCTAATTCCTGTCCCATTTTCAAAAATACAGAAGTTTTTCTTCATATTTTCTGTTTATCCTCAATATATTGTCCCTCATTGCCATCTCTTCATGCAATGCAATTTTTGTACTTCAGGGAAATAAAAGAAATACATTCTTTACTATGTGTTCCTTCTGAATCCATGAGCAGTCCAATATTTGCCTGAGACTTTTGGATCTTGGATGCAATAAGGTCCCCTAAGATGAGATAAGATTATCTCTTGGGCTGCTGAATGCAGTAAGCCTGCAAGAACAGCCTGAATGCCTCAAGAGTTTCTCCTTTTTTTTCCATATGGCTCTTTGGCTTCAATAATTTTTGGTCTTTGGTCATTAACTTAAATTAACAATTTTTTTGGCCTTGCAGTCGTGGTTCTCTCGCCCAACTTTTCATGATCTTAATGGTTAGTGAAAAGACTGATGCATATTACATCAGGGGAAAGGACAAAAGGGCTTAATGATACCAGAGTAAAAGCATGAATACCGCTTGCAATTCAGAGACATGATTCTTCGTGATGGGTGGGACTTAACCCATTATCTACTGATGAAATGCGAAAATTTGTCACCATGTGGCGAACGTCGCTGATTGCATGCTTTTGACCGAGATTCATGTCCTAGACTACAGATTTGAAGAATTCACTAGTAGGGTCATTGTTTTTATTTTGGGCGTCCTGGGATAGCTAGTCAAAAATGAGCCCAATGTCATCAGGTATGAGGAAAAAACCTCAAAGGTTTGTAACGTTTTCAATTTAAAAATGTCATACAGATGAAGTTATAAGTAATGCAGGTATAAAATAATTATATAGTTATTGTGAGCAATCTTATTTTAATTGAATTAAAATATTAATGATAACGCAATTAAAATAAGATTATTTAAAAATTTTTGTTCAATCGAAGAACATTTTGGAGGTTGGTCATATTTATGCAGTTTTCAACATGATAGGGAAAGTAAGGTAAAAATGGGTTAATCCTAGGTCACCTTCACCGCTGGGGATCTCTCATTCACATTCATGGTACACGTCTCTGATCTCACGTGAAGGAATTTCTTATAATAATGTGAAAGTAAGTCTTATTACGTGATGCAATTTCATAGCTGACGGTAAATGAGTCTGCCAACCTTGGCAGGGTTTACTATTTCTCTCTGCCATTTAGCAATATGTTGCCCTTAGCGCAGGTCGATTCGGCAGTTTTTGTGCACCAATTCTGACTCGAGTTTTCCTCATAAACAAATGTGCATCCGGTGCTTCCAGATAGGATATACAAGACCGAGAGCATTGAGAGCATTTCCATCGATTGAAGCCCTTGAACCAGCCGTACGTGTGTATGCAGTTTCGGTCGGAGGTTTCGCCTGCTGTGTATTTCTCCGCAGAGCATCAGATGTAGGATGCAAGAAAAGATGCCAGGACTGCTCAGCGGAGGGAAGCGATTCCTGTTGATCTACGCATCGCAGACGGGCCAGGCGAAGGCCATCGCAGAGGAGATCGCCAGCCTTGCCCCCGAGCACGGCCTCCTCCCCGACCTCCACTGCATCAGCCTCACCGAGAAAAAGGTACCCCCACCCCCCTTCGTCGGCGCGTGGATGCACCGAGGAGCAAAATCCAGCTTCCCGTCTTTCCCCAGTTCGACATCACCCAGGAGCGGTGCGTCGTGATCGTGACATCCACGACGGGGGAGGGCGAGCCGCCGGACACGGCCCAGAAGTTCTGGCGCCGCCTCAAGAAGACCACCCATCCCGACGGCTATCTCCGGCACCTCCGCTACGCCTTGCTCGGTAGGGCGACGGGAAGAAAGGAACAAAATTTTCATCTATTTATTATTACAGTTTTATTATTTTATTTTTTATTTTTATTTTTTCCAGCGCTGGGGGATTCAAATTACACCAGCTTCTGCAATTGCGGGAAGATGATAGAGAAGCAGTTGAGGGTCCTGGGTGCAGAGCCGCTCTGCCCGCCCGGTTGGGCCGACGATGCCGTCGGGTTCGTCCTATCGGATTTCCGCGTTTATTGTTTCGATTATTTTCCCCGTTTGGAAGGAATCAGATCCTCTCGATACAATGTGTTTATGACTATCATTTCTCCATTAGGATTTGCAGTGAAGAAACAAAAATTCTATTCTTTTGGCCGTATCAGGCCTTCATGGGCCACAGAAGTCCCATTTTGGCAACACCTTTAGATCGGACATGTTAATGATAGTACAGTTGGTAATGCAGAAATACCTCAACAGCTTCTGTGTTGATATGTGTATGGATCACTTAAACGTCTTGGTTAATGTGCTGGAACTTTACCTCAAATGATGAACTCCCCTACATACAAAAATGACAGACTCAGGATGATTGATGAAAATTCGAAAATTATTCTGCTGTAATTTTCCCCCCACTTCTTAATTCCAGGATTGGAATGTTTTCATGCTCCTATGTGGTTAAGTATCAGCTAGCGTTATTCACCTTGATTTGAAGCATGAGTTGCTTCCCTGCATCTGTTGAAGACTGGAGATAGCAGTGGAACCATGGATAGAAAACCTTTGGCCAGCCCTTCAGTCCTTCCTCGGCATCGAAGGAAGGCAGGAGAAGGAAGAACCCGAGAGAAAGCAGAAAAAGGACGAACCTGAAGGAAAGCAGGAAAAAGATAATGAAGAAAATCAGAAGGGAGAACCTGACCCAGAGGTTCAGACCCTTCTTTCTTCCTCAGAAGAGCCACTTTCCGGCACGCTCGTGGCCTCGCTCGGCATTCCCGAAGATGCCAAGATGTCTCTGCCTCCCCTGCCAGCTCCGTATCTCGATGTCGTCATGCACGATGTGCAACCAGTGAGTGGAGAAATGGGGATTTTGTATCATGTTTTGAGAATCAGGATTTTGAATTTTAGTTGATGGTGCTTAAAATTAGGGGGAGGCTGTGGAAGATTTTCACTTGAAGAACCTGCCCCTGCAAGAGGGAGACGTCCTCGAAGGTGACATCGAGAAGGTCGAGGTCCTCACGTCGCCTGATGCGGTCAAGAAGACCTTGCATGTTGTCCTAAGGTTCAAGGTGTGCAGTTTTCATTCCATTGTCGTACCAGACTCTGCACAAAATCTTCGAATAAGGGAAGCTCAGTTTCTCATGTACAATCAGAAATGTTGAGGTATTTATTCCCATTGGCATATTTTGAGGAGATATTGAATTAGTAGGTGTCATAAATGGTGTGGTCTGGTATTGTAACTTGCATTCCATGACCAAGGTGTGAACTTTACTTGGACAGGAGGCTCCATGGGCATGGGGGCCAGGCGATTCATTGGGCCTCGTTTGCCCAAATATGCATTCTGAGGTGGAAGTGGTTATGAGAAGACTTGGGCTAAAATTGCAAGATGGGGAAGCCTTTTATTCGGTGGAGAGTTTGGATGAATCCGGGAAGAAAAAGGTCCCTCCTCACATTCCCCCTTTGGGATCCTGGTTCTACCTTTTCACCTGGTGCCTCAACATCAGGGCCATTCTCAAGAAGGTGAACTCATTGACAGACATGTTTGAAAATGTGTGTATCCTCTAAGGAGTGAAATTATTCAAAGTTTGTATGTGAAATGTTCCTCCATCTTTTGTGGAGTTTCCATTGCATGAGTTTCAATAAGTACTTATACCAAAAGCAACCCTTGCATGAATCTCAAGTTGTATGTAGCTTTATAAGCCTTCCAATTTCACTATAGGCAAGGCAATATATTTTTGAGCTGGCAAAAATGGAGAAGACTAATTAAGAAAAACATTCATTCACTCCTCTTCCTCAAATACTGTATATCTTATTATGCCTGATGTCTATCCTTATTACAACCCTCATGAGTTGTATATTGAGTATAGTGCCAAGAAATTCATATTTCAGGCCCACTTCCGCATTCTCTCGGAATACAGTTCGGACGAGAGGGAACGCCGGTGTCTGCAGTGGTTGAGTTCCCGTGAGGGAGGCCAAGACTATTCTCGCAGAATTGTGGAACCTCATTGTGGTTTCATCGACATCCTGGAGAGCTTCCCCTCTTGTCACCCGCCTCCGAGCCGCATTCTCGAGATGCTGCCCCGCATCACACCCCGTCCGTACTCGGTCGCCTGCTCGCCTTGCCGTCATGGTCCTCGATGCCTGGAGTTTGTGTTGTCTGTGGTGGAGTTCCCTGCTGGGGAGGGACGCCTTGTCCCTCGCAAAGGGCTCTGCTCCGGATGGCTGGAAAATGTATCCAACAGCATGGATTCCCTTGTTGATTGCCTCGAGGACTTGCACATTCCAGCCTCCTCAACACCACTTGTCAGTTTGTTTTGCTGCTCTTGGTTTTTGAATATTTTTGCAGCATTAAATTCTGCATCTCATCTTTTTACTATGCTATGATCCCAGTAGATCCATTTTCAGTCTGGCAAACCTCCATAACTTTGACAGTTAAATGCTCCTCATGACAACTGGACTCCTTACAGATGCCAATTTGAGTCCTTTTTCTTATCATTTTAGCAATTTGTTACAATCATTACATTCTACCAGAGGTTGTCCTGGCTGAAGGAAAGGATCTTGCATCACAACAGTGTGGAGTCGAGTATTTGTTCAGTAGAATTTTACCCCTCAATAATTGGATTAATTTCCTTGCAATTCAGAGATTTGGCAGACTAAAAATTTTGCCAGCTCTCCAATACCAGTTGATACTGATACCAATGCTGATTCCAGGATCAATGCTGCATGTAGCCCCAGATGGTCATTTCAGCCAAACAAACCATCACTTCGTTTGTTAGTCAGGGAATGTTTTTCTCCTTGGTGAAGGACAGAAAAACTGGACTGAAAGGTTAATGAAGGAACTTTCCGATATGGAAGAAAGCCAGCAGACTTTGTCCTATCCCCCCTGGATTCCAGATTCTCTTTACATTCAGAGTTCTTGGACACAAATTTCCCAGAGCATTATGCATTCCCAAATGACTCACAGTTGTCCCTCTTTCTTTTCCCCCTGCCATGACATAAAATGATACATATTCTCCTGCATTGCATCTAGCCAAGCCACCAGAACACAAGATTGGGCAGGCTCCTCTTTTGAATTTTGCTTTTCTTTTATTAGTCTAGCCTTGTGTCCTAAAAGGAGCATTTTCTGGGTTTGAAAAGCATATTCTGATACATTCTTCACATGGGAGTCATCACATCAGTGGCATGCCCAAGGGGGGGGGTTTTGGGGGTCATAACCCCCCCTTGGGGTCAATTTTACTCATTCGATTTGCACAAATTTTTTTATTTTGCCACAAATACAGGGTGGGTTATCAGTTTTTTTTTTTACGTTAACCCTGCCCCCTCATATCAGTGATAATCAGGGGTAATCAGTGTTTCATATGGCGACCCCCCCCATTCAGATTTCCTGGGCACACCACTGCATCACATGCATGTCATGCATCACAGAATTTGATATCTAGAACAAATAATGTCTTATGGGGGTCAGGGTATCAGCAAAAGTATCAAGCACACTACTACCACCTGCTGATACTATAAGTATCAACCAGTATGTCAATCAATATATGTATTGATGTGTCTCAACTTGCCAGAACCATGCAGATATGACCATATGAGATGGATTTTCAATTATGCATAGCTGCATGCCTTAGTCTTGTACAATGTGCAATGGATGAAAAATATTAAATAAATAATATTAATAAAACAAACAAATGGTCTGAGAAGAAAGAGCCACCAAGCAATATGGTGGCTCTTTCTTCTCAGACCATTTGTTAGATACTTATAGTATCAGCAGGTGGTAGTAGTGTGCTTGATACTTTTGCTGATACCCTGACCCCCATAAGACATTATTTGTTCTAGATATCAAATTCTGTGATGCATGACATGCATGTGATGCAGTGGCGTGCCCAGGAAATCTGAATGGGGGGGGTCGCCATATGAAACACTGATTACCCCTGATTACACTGATTATCACTGATAAGCATGCCTTCATTTCATATGATGGACTATTTATTTTTAAAGTGTAGCTTGTAGATTTTTATTTTTTTCTTATGGATGAAGATTTCCCAGTCAAGAGTGCCTGTGTGGGTTTACAAGAGAAAGAGCAGTGGTTTCAAACTCCCTGAGAACCTTGACTCCCCTATAGTGATGATTGGTCCTGGAACTGGCCTTGCCCCTTTCATTGGCTTTCTCCAGCATAGGTGAGCCTTGAGAACTGTCTTGATGGGAAGTTATTTCCAGTGTTGAACTGAAGGGGTGAAACTCTCCAACAGAGACCATGAAACAGTGAAGAAGGAACCCTGGTGGCTGTTCTATGGATGCCGGCACCCTGACAAGGATTTTCTCTTCAAGGAAGAACTTGACCATTTCCTCGCCTCTGGATCCTTGGGTCGTCTGCTGGTGTCTTTCTCCCGTGTGTCATCCCCTGACTCCCCCAATTATGTCCAGGATAACATGAGACTCCATTCCAAGGAGCTAGTGGACCTCATCACAGAACAGGGTGCAACGGTCTACATCTGCGGGGATGCACACAACATGGCCAAAGACGTCCAGTCCTGCTTCCTTGATATCATAGCTCAAGAAAAAGGTGCATTCATTTTCTTCAACTGCACATTGTAATAATGATCTTCTGATGTAGTGGACCATCAAAATTCATTAGTGAGAATCTAGTGGGGTTGCTTTAGAAGAGAATATGGTATGGTAAGTGTACACCTTAATGAAGTAAGGAACAAAGTCATGATTTTCCAAGGCTGTTTTTAAAACATCTTATCAGCCCAAGCTGTTGGCATTGCATCATTGCCTCTGGAAAATCTGTGAAGATTGATAAATGGTTATAAATGCGGAGAAGGAAGAGCAGAAGTTGCCTTGGAAGAAAATTTAATCCCAGGTATAGATTCTTGCATGATGCAGTTCATGGGAGAAATGGGGGGGGGGGGGGGGGGGGGGGAGGGGGGGNNGGGGGGGGGGGGGGGGGGGTGGGGGGGGGGGGGGGGGGGGGGGGGGCAGAAGCCAGCTCAAGCAGATGGAAGAAGAAAAAAAGTTGTTTCCTTCTCTGTCCTGTACCTTCTCCAGAGTGGGTTCCCTGTCATCTTGTTCTCTGCTTACTACCTTTTTTTCTTTCTCTGCATCATTTCTACAGTTTTAGAGAACTGTCATCACCCTTCTTGATCTGTTGATGACATGCTCTATCAGGCATGGTGATGCCTTACTAGAACATTCAATAAATCATGACAGGGCTGTCATGATATACACTGAGCCTAACCCAGATATGCTTGGTGTTCAATGTGGAGGACACATGTTTTATATGGAGGCACAATGCTGCATTCCATCCTATGTATTGAATGCCAGGCATATCTGAGTTAAGTAGAAGCATGTAGAGGAAGAAAACCCATCATGTATTAGTACTTTTAGTGCAGCTTTCTAGGATGACATTAATAATTTTTGCAACCTTTCATTTTGACTCTTGCTGCAAAGCCCATTCAAGTGCAGGTAAATAGCTCATTTCAATTAATAAATTGCAAAATCCACATGCCCATAAGAGAGAGAAAGGGTGGGCATGTGCACCTGCTTTTCACCCACCTTGCAAATGCATCTTCCAAGCATGTACTCTTCTTCACCCCCTATTGGTATTACATATTAATAGGGATATCTGCTCTCTCTATGAAAGTCTGTTCTGTTCTTCATTTCATCCTTTATTCCGCAAAACTTCAAGCTGTAGGAAGCAGGAGCAGACTGGCGACCTAGGGGCCCTGGGAAATTTCTCGGTATCCCAGTGGGCCAGTCTGACCCTGGTTGAAAGGAAAACAAACCAGTGGTGTAACCATTTTTACAATGAAAAAAATTTAACTTTTGTCTCGTGAAATTCTTCATGGACAGTATTGATTGAAAGTGATAAAATTGTAACAAGAAGGTAGAATCCACAGTGCAAGGGTGAATCATGACCTATGAGACAGGATGAAGGCAACAAAGATCCAAATGCCTCTTGGGAGGGGGGATCTCACAATCAACCATGAAATTCAGTATATGATACAGCTTCACCATAAATTGTTGTCTCAACTTTGTAATTTAGCATCTTAGTTGAATTGATTGACAAGCAAGGGATGATCATCACTTTGATCCACCTCATTAACCTGTTTAGGAGTACCACTGTATTTCCAAACTTATTGTTATTTTCTGTGTATTCAAGCATTAATATAGTATGTCCTGTACAGAAAGTTGTTTGTACTTGACCACATAAGCTCATACCTTGCTCCAGTCTATGATCACAGAATATGAGTAACCTTTTTTGGAAAGGGTAGTAATGTACCCCTTCCACCAATCATTGAAATGCCAAATGCACTCCTCAACAGATTAATCTTTCATCCATCATTATCACCCCTCCAATCACATGATCTTCATCTGAGGCACTGTCCCAAAATGTTTCTAGAGCTCTCACTGTTGAATTGGATTTGCTAAGCTTTCATGCTCTTGTTCTCCTGTGCAGGTGTGAGTCATGCGGAGGCGTTGAAAATTTTGGAAAACATGCGTTCACAGAAGAAGTACCTACAAGACATCTGGAGTTAATCTGTTTGTAGGCAACATATCATCCAGAACACAAAACTTGTGCTGCCATACAAGTGTATAACAAATTCCAGTGCGGTGTGTTTTTGCTGATAATATGCTCACTTAAGCGACTGGTCTTCCATTTCCACCTCTTTGGCTTCATTGTCCCGAGAGTTTTGATGTATCAGTGATTTTCAGGTGCAATACTTTCTACCTCTTGAAATAAAGAAGCCAAGATAATCGCTGGGTTTCCCCTATCCTTTCTTTTCACCTCCGAGAATCCTGAAAGGTGACATCATCACAGGTGCGGCAAAAAGCCAGGAGTCAAGTCTATGCCGACACGTGGGAGTGACCGGATCTTCAGCATGCTGTCCTCAGTTGGGAGCCACTTTCATATTTTTGTCACAAATTAGTTCAGGAATACGAGGAAGTGAATATCTCAGAGCGCAACTTATTTTTTCGGACGGGGGAATGAATTCATTCTGTTAACTCAGTGAGTTGAGTGCCTGCGGATGAGGAGAAAGAAAGAGTCGAATAAGCCCGTGGAAGAAACATGGCGGATAAAGACGGTGTTCGAGAGTCTGAGGAAGGTGGGGAGAACAAGTCCACCTCGAACTCTGAAAAGCCAAGGAAACATGATAGTGGTGCAGCAGATCTGGAAAGAGTCACCGATTATGCGGAGGATAAGGAAATTTCCTCTGATGACATCCAGGGGGTAAGTCCAACGTAGAGATTCTTCTTAAATTCCAGAATTCGCAATATTGCCCAGGGCAATTTTTGAGCCTCTTGACCTTGAGATCTTGATGGTGAAGGCGTGACTAGATGAGGCTTACGTCAACGTAAGGGTAGCGTTTAGTCTAGGCTAAGGTGTCCTTGATAGACACAGGCCGAAGAAAACCCACCTTCTTGCCTGTTCTAGGCTAGCGAGGCCTCCTGCTTGGGCTGACGTAGGGTATCGCAAACAGTGGAAAGCCGAAAGCCAGCGTTAAACTGGCTTGTATTCCGCGCTTTCTTCCAAAGCTGAGATTTTTTAAATAATACATGGAGTTTCTTGAAATCAGATCCTTTGTACTCCGCGGATCCTGTTGGTCACATTAAGGTACAGGAGGAGCCACATTCACATCACATTAGTCACCTTTCAACGTTCTTGAATCTAGTCAGTTAAAACCATTAAAATTGTTTGATGAGTAACTAAGCAGAGAGATGGTTAGATCTTATTTAATGTTTGTTGTTTTCTGTTTGGACATTAATTTGTCTCACTCAGAAAATTTCCTAATTCCTTATCACTGTTACAGTTATGTAATAATTTTTTCTGCTAAAATTAGTACATGCTATTGCAAATTCCTCTTTTTTTAAAGAAAGTTTTCCTGTTTCTTGGTAACTTGTCACTGACGTGATGGCAAGACCTCCCCCTCATGGCTTGGTCTCCCTATACTGACCCAATTGAGACCCAGTTGGATTCCAGCATGCTTTACGCATGGCCAACTTAGCATCCCTTGTCTCTCAACTATTGAGCAAGAGTGACATGCATTAAATGTCTCCTTTAAGAAGTCTCCACCTCTGGGCATAAAAAAAGAGCTGTCACTCTGTATGCACTTATGCATGTGGGGCCTGGAGGAGGGGAAGACCCTCTCTTATATATATATTGAACCAAAGTACCCAAAGTGGAATTTGTGCTGAAACTGACCATTCAGAGATAACAACCATCATGATGAGCTTCTAATTTCAGAGAAACCAATACATAGGAGCTTTAGATATTTTCCAATTCAAAAGCATTGAGATGAGGGACCCATGCATGCCAAATGGACCAGAAAGAAATGCTAGAATTTGTGAACTGAAGAGTTTTTGTCACTTTGTTCAAGTGTTGGTGAATTCAAATGCTTTACTCTCCAGCTTATTCTTGATCTCTTTTCTGATCAACATGCTGCGGAAAGTAAAGGAATATATTTATTCGGCCCACCCTTTAGTATTCATGCTAGGGATATCCTTCTTGGTTTATCTATCACTGAAGCATCAGTTCGCATAACTCCATAGCCCTCTTCAAAGCTTTAGGCTGTATCTCAGTTTCCCCTGAAATGTGCATTCAGACATGCCTGAAGTCTCTTCTTATGTCTGAAATCAGTACACATAAATCAACAATGAGTATTGCTGGAATTTTCCAGGAAACTTATGAACTCCTTTACTTCTCTTTCTCTCAGGCTTAGGGCTATTCGTTGCAATAGCTTAGAAGCCAAAAATAACATTTGATTCTGGCAGTTTCTGGTGTAAGTAGGTGTAGCAACTTATCAAGACATGAGGTTGGATGTCTTTTAGGTGTGTCATAAGGTGAATGAGCCCATTGCATTGACAGGAGTGGCTAGGAGCATCGATGGAGCAAATCAGTTCATCTTTCAAATGGCTGCTTTTAGCTTCCTTCCTATAATTGTGCTCATCTTTTTTTTAATTCTCCACTATGGATGTCAGTTTCTCAACTCAACAGATGACTGCTATCCATTTCTTTATCAAGTATTTTTTTAGATTCTAGACCTTTTTTCCTCACCAACACAAGTGCTATGGATTTGTTAATGATTCTTAATTACTCTGCACTGCAATTGAAGAGATGGAGGATGATGAGAAGCTTGGGAAGCATGTAAGAGACAGCTTTAAGTTGCTTTTGGTCTTTCTGCATTGGGCAGTTAATCAAAGAATACTTTAGATTGAGCCTATATGTGTTTGATTGGACTTGTGCTCCTCTTAATATGGATGTGAGGTGTTTCCTTTCAAAAACTCTGAATAAGAACATAAATGACCAGAATTAACCAGACCTACTAGATTATGTGTAGTAACACTTGTATTTTGAGACAATCAGTAATGGTTAGTGTCTATAGTAGAGTACAAACATCTAAAATATGCATGACAATTGTCATACCTTCAAAATATAGGCCCTTAATCAGTAGCTTGCAAATGTTAACACAGTGACAAAAAGTGTCTAAGTCAAAATGTTGGGTGGCTAAGGGCTGTTTAGCTTGAAGGTACCAAGTCTATGGTGTTCTTGGCTTGCCACCATTTTCTAATATGCAGTATTACATTGAGAAAAATTCAATTAAAATTGTTTATGTTCTGAAATAGAACAATTTTCATGTTGAGTAGTTGAACCAAGTTCATACCCTTGTTCTGTTTTAGGGCCTATCAAATATTCCAAATGTCAAGGTAACATCATTCTGTTGCATTTAAATGCATACCATGTCAATTTTAGGCAATGACCCTGATTGGTGATAGGAGAGCCCAGGAGTATCAGCAAAAGGTAGCCCGAGAGAAGGAACTGGCAAAAGTGTCCATCAAAAAGGAGGATGTTGTACTCATTGTATGTCACTATTATTCCCCTCTCATTTCCTCCATTTTCTTGTTCTCTAAGCAGTTGAATTGATTGCTGATAGATGCAAGAATTTGAAGTGACACGAGCCAAGGCAGAGAGGACATTACGGGAACATCGAGGAAACATCATAGAAGCACTGACTGCTCTCACTGAATGACTCCTGCTTTGTTCTTATCACTTGACCCACTGTGATCTCCATGAATATGAAATTGTTACATCTTGAAAATTTGGAAAAGCTTGAGGCCTGGTACTTTGTATGCAGAATATTTCATTAGAGCTCCTGGTGTATGTACCCTGATACATCCATGAGGGCGCTTCATGTCCTCGATGGAGCAGACCATAATTTATTCATGGCATAATAAGGTAATCTCTTCATCTTTGTGTGCAAAGGCTTTTGCTAGAGATAGTATGGGTCAATCATCCCTTTCGCTTTGGTACAATGGGTTTGTGAAGTCCCATATATAGGTCATTGTGACATTACATTTTTTTTTATCTCATGGATTTTCTTTTTTTTTCATATTTTCCTTTGCTGCCTGAAGCACTATATTGAAGTGGAACCCAGTATGTGTAGTAACTTTTCCTTGACTATCACATTCTAATGAATTCTGTTCCTTCTCTCAGGTGTACAAACACACATACACTCACATCAGGGTTATCTATGCTGATACACCCACAGGTATGTGGTGACTGATAACATTGTTTGCAAGGAAAAAACCTGGGCTACACATACCACAGTAGAATCACTTAAATGTTCTTGACATCATATTTAATCTGGGTCTTGTTCTTTTAAACTAAGACTTTGCATTTCATTTGAGATTTTGTTTTTGCAGATTGCTTTACAGAGACCAAAAATTGCTGCATGCTAATTGTGACTGATCATGCCGTGACTGGAGTGGTGTGTTTACTCAGTGACCCCGTGTCTGATCTCAGAGAGAGTGAAACCAGGAAATCCCTCACCTGTGATATGTGCAGTCACTACAAGGAGGGTTGTGTGTGAGAATGTGTGATGGCGGCTGCCGCTTATGCTGCCGAGGAATCCGTGATTGGCATTGGCGGATCTGGGGAGCGAGTGGCAGCCAATGCTTCTGCCCTTGACCTCGATGGCAAGCACCAACACAAAGGTATACCATTGTGGAGTGTTATGAACATTCCCTTTGAACTGTTGGTTGATGTGGTTCATGTTCTGAGATGCCCAATGGGTTATTCTGGATCAACTTGTCCAATAGAACATATAGCATCCTCTCAGATTCCAATTAAAAAGATGAAGGTCTTCAAGACCTAATATTTACCCATAATTTTTAATGAAAAGTTAAACTCTTCAGAAGCCAGGAAAAGCATATCTATGAAACAATGGAGGAAAAATCTCCCAAATCAAGTCTCCCCAGCCGACAGTGGCACCCAAAATTATTCTTAATAAGTCAAGTAGTTCTTAGAGTGCTTCTTAGTTATGACTGTCTTTCAGAGGAACCAAGAAGCTAAATTCTGGTACCATATTTTGAAAAAATTTTATTAGGGTTTCAAAATGCGATGGACAGGTAATTTTGTGCATATCTGGACGCATTTACTTTTTATTTTAATCTTTGACCTTGAGTTTGGTTATGTTGCTTTTCAGGTACAAAGTAGCCAAAATATCTGATAAGTGGATTGAATTCCATCAAATTCCAAAATTTTCAGAGATGCACTATGCTCAAATATCATCTACAAAATTGAAAACATTTGGCATCTCAGGAATTTAGCTTCAATCTACTCGTAAAACTTATGGCGGATGTGAGCCCTTGAGACAGGAAGTGAAGTGCGGGTAGCTATCTGTTAACTTTTTCAACTTCTTGATAATTATTTTGTCAACATTATCTGTATTTAGATATCAATAGCTTATCAATAGGAATGGTCATCTCTTGCAGGTGATGGCATGGCTTATTCCCAATGAATAGTTGATGAATCAATGAGTATCAATTCCGAGAGTTTTCTTAAAGTTCAATCACAATTTCCCTTGTTTTATGGGGGAGATCATGAGAGATGGGATAAGGGCATGGCAAAGAAGACCAATGACTTTGGGTGTCTGTGTTCAAGGACTCCTTTAGCCATATTTGGTCAATGTTGGTTAGAATATGGAATGTCTTTTCATTCACATCAGGTCAGTTTTGCAAAATTCTTTTGATAAAAATTGAAATCCTAACCAATGTTTTCCAAGAAGTTCAAAGCTCAAATAGCAAATTTAAATGGAGGAGGAGTTGAATGTGGTCTTGATTAACAGGAAGGACATTGTGAGTATTTCCTCCTCTCCCCTACCAGGAGGAGCTCTTGTTCATTCTTAATATTTAACTTGTTTCAGTTGCTGATATTGCTTTAGCACAATAAATTCAGATGAAAAGTTGAGTATCATTTGGAAACACACTCAGATATGCAATGTGAAAGTTTTGTGAAAATGGCTCTAGAGTGAGTGAAAATATTTATTGTTAATATATTCACTGCTGTCAACTAAGGTCAATTTGAAATGTCATGTGCATGTAACTCCACAAAGCACCCACAGATTGCACAAAAGGTGATTTTGCTGGCATCCAGAGTTATTCTCAGGCACTTCCCAACACTCACAATAGTGCCACTTCACATTTCCCCCCCCCCCCCCTCCATTTACCCACAATCCCACACTGTGCTCAAATGCATGAGAGAGGGAGACATTTCAAGTGCTGCAGGTGCTCATATTGATTTTGTGCCAGAATTTAGCACAGATTCCTTATCTGCTCACAGTGAAGATGTTAAAGGTGATGCAGGTACTTCCCACCCACAGAGGACAAGGCACCTGCAATGCACTACTGTTTGCATGCAGCCCAAGAATAGTAAAACCTGATTTTTGTGCATTCTGTGTGGAATGTCAATGCATCCAAGTGACTTTTACACTTTTTATCAAACCCTTATAGTTTGAGTAATTATTGCACATTTTCGCAGACCTGGAAAAGCACTGGTAATCTAGTGGTGATCTCATTTTAAAGGTTCAGAAGTGGAGGTGTTAAGAAAATCATTGGTCTCTTTTTTGCCATACCCTTTATGTAGTGAAAAAGTAAATATACCACACATATGTGTTATTGTATAACTCTTGCATTATAAAATCTCTTGGAGTTTTTTATGTTTTATTTATTATCTCAACAAAATTATTTTCTTGCTTTTTCTTTTATTTAGGGAAATGGGCCCTTGACAATACTGCATGTTGTCGTTTTGGGCCCTTACCATTTCAAAGGTGTTTCTAAAATTGTTATCTTTTGAGGATATATCCTGCTGAAGATATAGCTTGAGCAGCCCAAGTCAGACTTCTAAAATTAGCTCTTGTCAGGACATGCATGCCGTGCCATTCATTGCTGTTGAGGCGCTTTTCATTCTCAAAATGAGACTATTTATTGAAAATTTAAAAATTATTCTATTTTATTGAGCAGGGATATACAGATGCATATATGCAGTAGGCTTTCTTTCAAAAGGATTGGGAGAGGAGGATGAGGATGAAGATGAAGACGAAGATGATGACTATGGCGTGGGAGGTAGAAACAGCACCTTGGAGGCTGGGAACGGAGGTCCAACCATGGGCAAAGGCGCTGCCATTGGTCGTGGAGGAACCATGTCCAAAAAGACAGACAAAGAGAAGAAGATCGGGCATCGTCGCGTCGACGAAGAGGGCCAGATCACTTATAAGAAGGTACAGACCTCACCAGGTCATGGCAGTTTTTTGCATCTGGATGTTACATGATCTACATATTGTTCCAGATCCAAGTTTCCCAGATCATGGGTTCCATCCAATTGGGGATTAGCCACTCGATCGGGAGCCTGGCTTCCAAACCCGACCGTGATCTTCTCATGCAAGACTTCGCCATGGTCGAAACCTACACCTTCCCCAAGTGCGCCTTAATCCGCATTATTCACTAAGCATACCCCTCTTTCCCTTTACCTAGTGGCAGTGCCTGTCTTTTTTTTTTTAACTCTAATTTTTATATTTGAAGGATTGAGATTAATTTTTGGCAAGATCGATATCCAGTAAAACCGCCTCATAATGAAATCGGATACGACTTAATTTTCAGCCGTGAAACGATGTATCCACCGCCGAATGCCCATAGGGTTTCAGCTAAGTAATTTCCTAAACTGGGCGATCCCATTCATGGATCGATTTCCACAAGGTCACTGAGCGAGACATGGAAGCAATGTCGCGTATAAAATTTTCGATGTTTTTCTAGAAACATCGAAAGCAACTGAAACGACTGAAAACAAAAATATTTGTTCGCCCGGCCAATAATTGTTTACTACTTGCGCCGGCCATGCTTCATTGTGCTGGCACTAGAGGTGTGCGTGAGCCCCGCTTCACGCGTGATTCACGCGGGACTCACGACTATTTTCGTGATGCGAACAGAATTCGCTCGCTCGTGATCGTGAGTTTTTTTTTTATTCCGGCGGAGTTACTTTGCTGGTTTTTAACTCTCCCAGACACATGCCACAGTTTGGATATGACTCTTCCATTCTAACTCTTTGATGTTCGAACCCTTGGGAACGTCCGAAACTTCACTTTCTCATGCAAGCTTTTTCCTGGAGCCATGGAGAATCCGAAAAAAAAACTTGTTTTATCTTTCAATCATTCATCGCCTGAAATCAGATTTCCACATTTAGGCCATTGTACGGCCGAGCTTGCTATGCAAATGAAGTGCTTTGTGTTCTCATAAGTTCCACCCCAAGCGTGAGGGTTCTTTTTTTCAGGTGCTCCGCGGATTCTGGATCAATCTCTGAAAGTTTGGACATGATTTTTCTCTACAAGAACTTGCGAACAAGTAACTACCACGTAAATCAAGTGTCATCCGGTTACTACACAGTTTCTTACTATTTACTATTTTTAAATAAATAACAAGGAAATATTAATTTACATATTTTTGAAAGGGGAGAGGAAGGGTCAACTGTCACGCGTGACACGACTCACGAGGTATCACGCGTGGCTTTCCGTGACCCATTCACTGTCGCAATGATCGTGCGTACCCGTGAATCTCAAGTGATGTTGAATCAAGGGATTGTGTGAACATGAGTGACAACATGGGGTTTCTCTCGTGATCGTGAGTAAAAAAATCACTCACGCGCACACCTCTAGCTGGCATTATGCATCAATTCCTCCTCGTTACTGTTGATTTCGTCTAGTAGCAGAGTGAGAGGGTGGACCAGAATCAAAATTGGCAGGTTGAAAAGGAGTAGCATTTTTGTTTGAGGGTGGGGACAGCGTAGTGATGATGGAGGAAGAGAGGGAAGGATTTTGACTTAGAGGGGCAAAAATCGTATACCCATTCCCTTTTTTTTTTTCTCCTCTCCCCCCCCCCCCCTCCTCACTTGATCATCGGCTTTGTTTTGTTCCTTGGTCATGATCTGCAGTCAGTATCTCCATTCTGGGATTGTAGCCTCATCTCACCCTTTTCCTAGAAATCACCGTGGTAGAACGAGTGTAGAGAAAAGGGGAGAAGGGTGACACGCGCGCAGATAACGCATCCCGTTAGAAAAACCTCATGCCCTTAGAGCTCGATCCGGTTTGCCTACTCCATATCGAGAAGTTGTCCATCTGCAGAAGGAATTCGTGGAAACACTGGGGACAGGAGATGGGGGGGGGGGGAATATCTTTTCGGTTGAGGGGAAATTTTGGATGTTCGGGGCCTTGTGACATTTCGCACGTGAAAGGAAAACAGGAAATCCCTATTCGTTCCACGCCTGACGGTTCCTATCTTTGCATATGAAATTTTCTCATCTCGCTTTCCATTCAGAAAAGACAGATGTTCAGATGGGCGCCTTGCACCCGCTGCCCTCACTGTGACTCATTGCTAAGTGACGAGCCGACGTACACTAGAGTCCTACGCGGGTTGCGGATCAAAATTCTTGGGATTCCTCCTTGTGTTGGACTGGGAAGTAGTGTAGTTTTTTTTAATATGTATCTTGCCTCAAGGCCAGGGTAATGAACAGTCAGTGTATCGCTGCTGTGTCCCCCCCTTTCGGCCATTCCTTCGCGCAGCGCCCTGCGAACCGGGAGTTATTTGGGAGTGGGGAGGTCGCATCAGCAGCCTGTTTATGGCACAGAAGGAGCTTGCGTCAGCCCTGCTCCATATTCGTCACGCAATTCAGTAAGAAAGTGAATTTGTGGGCTGAATCTACATATACATATATACTAGTATATGTATTTTTTTAATATTATGATTCATTTATTATTTTTTGGCTTGCTTTGGTCGGGTGCGGACCTAGACTTGAATCAGACCGAGTTTCAAAAATTCAGCCTGTGCGAACTCTAACGTGCACAACTGTTAACGCAACCGCTACCACCTTCCTAGAACTCAGTCCAGTGTAAAGGCCTGACTGGGACCCTGCAGTTACAGATCCCGCTTACAGCAAACGCTACAAACACACACTAGCGGAATAATGAAAAACCCCATGATAACGAAGAGGCACGGTCCCGTGCCTCTTCGTTATCATGGGGTTTTACTGTACATCTCATACGTCATATTGATCAGCTCGCTGTTACTTGGGATGTATTGTTTGACCTCTTTATGAAAAACACTTGAAAAATACTGTTTTTTTTTATTTATAATTTTTTTTTTAACCAACACAAACATGGCCTTCAACCATTGCTACCATGGTTACGTCCGGTTTTTCCCTGGACATGTCCTCCTTTTTCGCCTTCATATTTCCGTTCGACAACTAGGCGTCCTGTTTTTGTTCGAAATGTGGTAACCCTATTCCGTGAATTCCAATATGCCATGTCATCTGCGAAGTGGATATTTCCACTTCCGGTCTTGAGTTATCTCAATTGCCATCTGAACATGGCCTTGAAGCCCCTGGTTTGAATGCAGTGTTTATTATATAACTTAATTGACATGTTCCATGAGTCAATGTATATACGATGCTATATTAGACTATCTGGAACATTGCAGTGAAGGATCCACTCACACTCCCGCTCACCATTATGGAGACTACAAGTTCAAGACGTATGCAGCCTTAGCCTTCCGATACTTCCGAGATCTCTTTGGCATCCAACCGGATGATTTCCTGGTAAGTTGCGTAATGGTCATGGTTGCGGTCAGCAGTGAGTATGGAAGTGATCAGTGGCTTATTATGTGGTTGACAGTTATCAATGTGCAATGCACCTTTAAGAGAACTGAGCAACCCAGGTGCCAGTGGAAGCATCTTTTACCTGACTGAGGATGATGAGTTCATCATCAAAACTGTACAGCACAAGGAGGGGGAGTTCCTCCAGAAACTTCTTCCTGGATACTTTATGGTATGCCCATTTGCCCATTCTGTGTGACTTCAGATACCCCCCTGAGGCTGGATTAAATGCATTGTTGGTTAATGCTTCTCCTTTGCTCTATTGCAGAACTTGAATCAAAATCCTCGAACACTCTTGCCAAAGTTCTTTGGACTCTATTGTTACCAAGTGAGTAATTTTTTCATTGAACTGTCTTTTATCAGTTGCTGATCTTCATATAGGCCTATGCATATATTTTTTTCCTTTGCAGTGCAACTCAAAGAATGTGCGTCTGGCGGTGATGAACAACCTCCTTCCTTCTTCCATCACCTACCACCAGAAGTACGACCTCAAAGGTTCAACCTACAAGCGTCGTGCATCCAAGCATGAGCGCATCAAGGCTTCTCCCACCTTCAAAGACCTGGACTTCATAGAACATCACCCCGAGGGGCTCATGCTGGAGGCTGACACCTACAATGCACTTATGAAAACCATGCAGCGAGACTGTCGGGTTGGTATCTTGAAGTACTCCCATGCACGTGAAAGGAACCATTGAACAGATTGGGTTAGGCAAGGTCTTGATATCTCATTTTAGGTTTTGGAGAGCTTCAAAATCATGGACTACAGTCTCCTGGTGGGGATTCATAACCTGGACCAGGCAGCCAAGGACCGAGCTTCACGTTCCAAGACTCTCAATCATTCCCAAGCCCCCCCTTTTGATGTAAGTTTCAACCTTTTCAAAAGCATCCTGAAAGCAAATCATGCAGGATTGTATTTAGATTTTAGTTTCACATAGGGAGAAGTTCATGTTACTTAAAGTGATACTGTCTTGGAAACCCACCCATTAATATGCTGTGCTGTGGAGTCCTCTCTTCAGTACTTATCAACCATGGAGAGTGAAATAAACAGCTAGAGACCAGAGTATGGCAGTTGAACTAAAGCTACTATATGAGTAACCAAATAGAACGTATCATGTTAACATCCAGTTAACTTTTAACATCTAGGGAGAGGTTGGGGGAGATGGAGGGCCATCAGGAGATGCAATGGAGCTGGTATCTCCGCTCTCTCCACCTTATACCTCGCTTCCTCCTGCGTTAGAGGGGGAAACACATGAAAGACTCCCATTGAACTTGGTGAGGTCCAAGTCCATGAATAGGCAGCGGTTGGTGGCCCACTCAACAGCCATGGAGTCCATCCAGGCAGAGTCAGAGCCCATTGATGAGGATGAGAGCCTTCCGTGAGAACCTTCAACCTATCCCATCTTGTGAACATTCTGAAAGTGGCCTGATTTGTTGTAGGAGTTTTTTATTTTTATTTTATTTTCTAAAGCAAGATGTGAAAGTAGGATCCATGAAATAATTTTGGTGTGATTCTTCCAAATAGTTCAAGATTATGTTGCAAGAACTTCAAAGTCATTTCTTGTTTTATTCAGACAAACTTGGGCCATTTCTGTTTAAACATCTTGTTTCTAGGCCTGGTGGTATTCCAGCCAGAAATGCCAAGGGTGAGCGACTCCTTCTCTTTCTTGGTGTCATCGACATACTCCAAAGCTATCGACTCAAGAAAAAGCTTGAACACACGTGGAAGGCCATGATTCATGATGGGGTCTGTTCTTGCAAAATTTCAGTTTCTTTAAATTATTTATTTTCTTATGTTTTACCAGATGTATTTTGACTGTCCACATTTTGTGACACTATGACTCATTTTCTTCACATCACTTGCTCATTACAGGACTCAGTGTCTGTGCATCGGCCCTCTTTCTACGCACAGAGATTCCTGGACTTCATGAGCAAAAAGGTTTTCAAGAAAATCCCATCCCGTGAGTGTCATGTCCTCCCCTTTTCTGACCATAACAGACACCCTGTGTCCATTCCCATGTCTTCTAAGAAAAAATTCTCCAACTGGGTAGAGTAACGCCCAATGTGGCCTGTGCTTGTCTTTCCTTTCCGTGCGGCCAGTGGACCTTCCTGAGATCACTGGGAAGCACAGGAAATTCCGTACCCTCGTGTCCAGCTACTTGGGTAAATCTTAACCGATTTAATAGTCGTCTGGCTGTACTGCATGCATCTGTTTGGTTTCTGTGTCAGCATGACTGGTTTTTTACCTTGCTTGATGAAAATTTTGATCAATTTTGTGGCTTTTGATGGTGGAGTGTGCATTTATCCTTTCTGGGACTGGGAAACTAACCGGGAAAATGGGTTCTCATGACAGCATTGAAGCACTCACCATCAAAGCGAAAGAATATGTCCCTACGGCATTATGCCCTTGCCAGCACCGACAGCGGCGAGGGTGGTCCCTCCGATATACCAACTAACTCAGGTGCGTCTTATCCATTCACTTCCTCTTCACTACTCCCCTTTTCCTAAACCTTTTGTTGGCCATTTCATTGTTTGATCTCCTTCCTTTTCTTCGTGGAGTTTGTTATGGAAGCTTCCACTGGTTTTTGTCAGCAAAGTGATCTTGATGTGAGCATTGCTGTTACGTATCTTTAAAACTGCATGGTTATTTTTGTTTGCAAAGTACGCTTTTTTAAAATGGAGTATACATCTTCACTCTCCCATGGCATGTGATCTGGTGAATAAAGTACTTGATTCTATTCACTTTTTATGCACTGTTTCATTGCCTCCTTTGTTTTCTTCAGCTGCACTTAATTTTGCCCTCCTTGCATTTCTTTCCTGTTTGCATTGCATTGCATGAAGTAGTCAAGCTGCTCATATGAATTACTCAGCAATGAGGAAACTGCTGCCTTCTTTACTATGTTTTGGTTATGCAAGCTTGGAAAAACATTTCATTTATGGGGTGGAGGGGGATTCATTCAATTAGACTGGTTGCTTTGATGAAAGAGTCATCTTCCACTTTAGGAATTAGAATCTGCCTAAGTATTGGGCATCACATCGTAAGCTGCACTCAAATATGGTGGGATATTGTTGTATTTGTGTATTATGTATGGTTGTGAAACCATTACTTCTGCTGTGTGTCACAATGAGAAATTGGGTATTGAGTTCTTTTTGTATTCAGAGCAGTGGGTTGTCTCTTTACAGGCCCTCCAGCAACAAATGGAAGGTGGATGAAGCAAGGTCAGTAATTTTTTTACTTCTGCCCTTCTTTCAGCTTCCTTCTATGCTTTGCTTTTGCTTGCTTGCTTGCTCTAATGCTCAAATTTGGCATCCTAGGTGGATTGTGCTTTACTTCCATTGAATAATACATTCAGTTTGATTGTCCTGGAAGGCATTCACTGGATTTCTCAGAAGTGGGATGCCTGCTACAAAGTGCTATGGTGTTTGATGTATTTATATCACTCTTGAGTTGTATATAGAGAAATAAATAAACCTTAATGACCAAGTCTCAATGGTTAAGCAGCGAAAAGCTGCATGTGGAGAGGTGATTCACTTGGGTAAGTGTCTGTTTGGAAGACTGGTTTCCTTGCTCTCTTGTGGCTTGTTTGCATGTGGAATATGGTTGTTAGAAACCATAACAATTTCACCATTCAGGATATGCTCTATGGGTACTGTGGCCTTGCTGCTTCACTTCCAAAAGGAAACTTGAAACTAGAAACCTGGCTTTTTTTTTCTCGTAGAATGACTAGGGAATAATCAGAATGTAGGATGCCTGCTCCTTTCTGGATGAGGAGTGGCAGAGCAGAGACCCATGAGACCAATTGAATTTTGTAATATCTGCTACAGGATGAATGAGAGCAGAACATTTTTATTTCACAGGTGTGAAGTTCCAAGAATGTAGTACAGATGGCTGGGATGTCAGTTGTTTTAAATCATACATACCATCAAAATTCCAGTACCATGTGCTACCATCTGATTTGAGATGGAGTTTGATGATGAAGCTTTAGGAATTCCTTTTCATTAGACTTATTCCATTTGGATTGTGGTTATGAGTGTCTTCAGACTTTACTCTGGCTGGCTTTTCTTGTAGGGAAATTTAAAGGGTGTTTCCGAAAATAACCCACTGGACCTGCCTAGTCCTGTGAGTTATTTTTTCTTTCGTCATTTTTCCTTTTTGTGTACGGCCCTTCTAAGCAAACATTCCAGAACTCACAGGCAGTAATGCAGGGTATGTTACAGCATGTATCTAGGAACACGGAGTATCACATGAATACATGCCTTTCAAAGCATTTGTGCCACATCCAATACTTGGTGTGAGCACTGAACCTTCAAATTAAATCTGTACATGCTACACACATGGAACTTCAGTCATTGTGGAATAAACAGTTTCTGTTTCTCTTTGATTGCATGACTGGCTGATAATATCCCTGCGAGGATCCAACTTGAACACACATCAACTGTTCTTGTTCTCGCTTGCACCTGTCTCTTCTTTCACTTAAACTGGACTGGGATGACAGAGAAGTGTCCAGGAAGTAACATCCAGGCAGGAGGAGGAGGAGTGATGTCACCTGTTGCTAAGACCTTCCCCCCCATCCTACAGGACAGAGTTCCTCAATCCCTGACCCAGTCCCAATCAACCCAAATGAAGGATCCTACTTCTATTCTCCCTTCCCATACACACCAAACTGCCTCTGCCCTCATATCCCGATCCATGACCCCCAGCAGCAGTCGAGTCCCACCACCTGTCCCGCCTCGATTCCCCAGATCCTCGGCTCGAACTGGTGCGTTCGTCCTCATCCATGCTTTGCACGGTTGTCCTCCCCTGAAGCCCATCTTCCTTCTCTGTTCTGTTTCCATGCTTGAACTTGTTTTATATTTTATTGCTTGGCATGCTTTTAGTTGTTTTTCATAATTCTAGGTGAGAGTACAGAAGCCCCACTGTGAACTCTGTATGGAATTTCATGATCTTCAATCATCATGGAGAGTAATGTCATGTCTCATCACTTGGAACTCAGAGTGCTCTAATTGTGAAAATGAAACTAATTGAGGTCAATCATATTCAATATTGTGAGAATCTGTCATGTAAATGAAGTTTTACCAAGTAAATAGATAAATCAATTGGTTTAACTACGAATAAGCCTGTACCCCCAGAGTATAAGTTTGACTAAGCTAGGGGCAAGAATAAGCTCATTCTTTTGAAGATTTGAACATATATTCAGTCAACCATGTGGCTTGGTTCTGATGGTGTGAAGACATTGAACAGCTTTAGTGATCACATGGCAAAGCCATTTGTTCAATGCTCGGTTTGTTTAGTTTTCTTTTATGCAAGGAAAGTCTTAGTTTTGTTTGCATGTGATTCATCACCTTCCATCCTGTTTTGGATCCTTGACTATTTTTCAACAAGGAATGGGATGCAATCAGCATTTTAAAAAATTTTTTTTCATGGCAGTGAATCGAGCAGAGACATTGGGGCCAAGCAGCCCAAACAGACGGTTGGGACCTGATTCAGGTTCTCCCATCTTCAGGGGTCACACCCTTCAGCATGTATATCATGGAGAGCAAGGAGGAGGAAGATTTGAAGGCTCCAATGAGCCCATCAGGTTAGACCACCCTCATCAATTCATTTCATTTGCTTCATTCCAACTTTATGGTTTGCTGTAGTCACATTTTTTCTTCACAGGCCAGGATTATAACAATTTTTTTTTTCAATTGCAATGATCTGAGAAGAGAAGTAGTTTTTGCTCCAATAATATACAGGGTTTGGCCAAGACATTCCAATGTGAATGTGGATTTGTGCCTCACAACAGTAGTTGCATGCCTGTTCACTTTGAAACTGGACCATTTTGACAAAATCTACCATAGCTCAAGAGTGCATGGCCAAAGGTGCATGAACTTCAGCAGCTCTTCAAGAACATGTTAGGCAACATTCATTTTAATTTTGAAGTCAATCCATTCAAAAATATGGATTCTGTACTGAAATTTAAAGTGGCTTACTTTTTTTTGCCTGTAGTAGGAGAATAAGAAGCCAAATGCCATATTGACTGAAAATTTTACCTTTGCCTGGCACTGAAAAACTGCCAACTGGATTCAGGAATGAGTACACTTGGCTCTGTGATTATATTATCTCTGTTTAACCCTTTCACTTTTTCACCCTGAATAGCTTAACCATATGGTTACAGTGTTTGTGTGAAATAAAAGTGTGAGAGATGTAGTTTTTTTCATAAAAGTGGGTTGGCTTTGCTGGTTACATGTTCATGATTGTATTTTGAGATGCAAAGTTGTGTTCAGAGGAGTTCATTGAACAATGAGAAGCAAGGAAGAATATAATGGCTCAAAGAAAATAATTTTTGGTTAATTAGGGTTAATAAGAAGATTTAACTCTAGAGTTATTTTCTTCCTGTTAACAGCATATCCCAAATCCAGTTGGAATCCAAGTGGGACTCAACAAGCACAACAAGCGGAATCGGAAGCACTTTGCGCACAGTCACATGGACTCCACCCCTCTCCACAGACACTCCCACCTGGACTGAGGGTACCCCCTCCTTCACTGAGTCCTCATCTAGTGAAGGTAGCCTTTGTCACCTTGATCTTGACCCATTTAGAATTTGTGCCAGTTGAGGGCTGTCATTTTAATTTCAAAGTTATGGGTCATTTTATAACAGCATTTCTATCTATCTTGAGTTTGACATCAGCAGTTAAGATGCTTTGCTACTCAACCCAGATCTCTTGCCAACATTCATGCAAGACATTTTTGTTAGGTGCTCCGACAACTCCACATCGTCGAGGAGTTCGATTGGAGCGGAAGAACGAATGCGAGTTGGAAACCGAGGAATACGGGGAAGAGGACGGTGAAATGGTATAGACCGTCTTTCCGTGTGAGATGGCCAGCTTCCACTAACATCACTTACATGTAAAGGGCTTGTTTGATGAGAGGTGTTCATTGTATTGTCTCGTTTGCTTGATGCTTGGTGGTGGTGGAGGTAGTTGTTGGTTTGTGATTGTGAATGGGTACGGTGGATTGAGGGCCTGTGCTTTTATTCAAACATGTACATATCTAAGATGTGCTTGTATGGTCTGGATGAAATCAGGATGATTTTTAGACGTAAAAATAAGATAAATATCTGGTTGAAGATGCCAAAAATTCAACTTAGGAAATCCATGCATAATATATTAAATATAATTTTGCTGGCAATATCTAGAGTTGGCAAGAATATTCTACACTCAATTGCTGTTATACTATTCAGAATTCCTGAAGAGTAAGTCATTTATATGTGCAGGCTGTTTCTTGACAGTTTATCTTTGATAAAGGACATTTTGTGATATTGTACAATGGCCTGCTTTTGCACATATTAGTCAATCAGCCATTGCTTCCTGGTATTGGCTAGTAATGGATATTTAATTATTTTTATCCATTCTTCAAGGTAACATATTCTGGGGGATTGAAAAAAATTTAAGATGAATTTGTTTGACTTTTCATTTCTGGAAAGTAGTTGGCAATCCATGCTAATCAGGGGAATGGTGAGTAATGATGCACAGCTGTTCAGGGAAATCATCAGTGTGTCAGTTATTCAAATTTTTTGCAATCCTAAGGAAATTAGACCGTCTCTATCTTTAGAAATGGACCCTTATCTGAGCCTTTCAGAACCCTACAATCCTGTTCATATCAGCTGTTAGTCAATTTTTTTTATCTTGCTGAGCATCAACCAGAGCCTGAGCCAATACATTGGCGTTTTCCATATCAGTCCATCAGTAGACAAAGCTGAACCACTCAGAAAATTGCAAAGGTCTCCTGTCTTCACTTGAAGATGTCCTGTTTCAGAGTGTTCACCACTTCACTCATACTCAGTGAATCAGACCTTTGAGTTACATATTTGCCTCATCCTGAAAGAAATGTGATTGTTTCTGCAGGCTCACAATAAGAAAAAAGTTTATTCATGGTTGGAGAAATACTTCATTGTGCTGAAAGTGGCTTAGAAACTCACCAATTTCATCTATCACAAAGTGGATTTATTCAATGTTTGTTGTACTGTAGCAGGGTAGATAAATACTTCCATGTCTTGTCCCGAATTGTTCACTTAGTAGCACCAAGTGTCACTACTAGCACATGTGAATGACCCTGTTGCTGCCAACAGAACTCAACTTAGCAGCTCAAAGCCAGTCAAAGTCCTACAGTAATCACTGTGACTGCTGTAGGAAGACTGGTGCTTCAGCAGGAGTGACTTTTTGTCTGAGACAGTATATAAGCAGTTCACTGGGTATGCTTCTTGCTGGAGCTAAGACTTTTTCATGGATTCAGTGGGACAAGAATTCACTCATGAAATTATGCCTCTGGAGCTGTACAGTACTGATTTATTTTTTATGATATTCACAGATACAGATATAAGTTTACATATTTGTCAATTCAATTAATATGGACATTTTGCAATGCAGCTGATATATGAGGGAATGTTGTTTGTTTCAGACCCACCTGTGAGCCTAAGCTGAGAGGGCTGGTCAACTAGTCAAGCTAATTCTCCTTCATTCATCGCAGTGAGCTTGCTCTTCAAGGACCGAAAGAAGTAAAAAAGACAGGAAATAAGGAATCTCCCTCCCTCACTTTCACCTGATTCATTCCACATCTAGAAGTGTTTCTTCCCCTTGTGCCTGTCCAAGAAAGATGACCTATTGTGTGTGGCTTGCTACGTCCGACTGCACCGTGCCGATCTCGACTTGAGACAAGATGCAGTTCTTGATTCAGAGTGCAAGAGAGAGCATGGGTTGCCAAAGCAGACAAATCTTTTCTAATTTCTCCTACATCCCCTTTGTTCTCGTCAAGTACGTGCGGATTCAATTCATGCCTTACTGTGATAATTTCCCCAAAATCATCCTTATCACCTCCTCATGTATAGTGTGAGCTGTCATTTTTTAATTTATTGCTAGGGTTTGAATGACAAGAGAGTTGCATCCTCTCTCTACCTATCCTCTTTCATGAAGGAAACTTCAGTACAGTGCATTGTGTCTGTTGTGTAGGCTTCACAAAATGTAGACATGTAGGACTGGAAGCAATACCAGTGGAGGAAATTTTTTGAGAAGTTGAAATTATTATGAGTATGAACACAATGAACAGTGGTACCATAAATAAACGTGCTGTTGTTGGGTAATAAAAAGGCTGGATTACTTGGTTTGACGTCAGTCTTTGATTTCTTTCATTATTGAAATCCCAGACTTTCTAAATACAGGAGAATGTGCAGGGAGGAGGGAATGGGGGAGTGGAGTGCCATAAGTGGTAAGGATTGGTTAAGGTTAATAGGGGTCTGGGACAGGAGTACAGAGTAGGGTTTCAGGATGCAGAGAGTATGGGGGAATGGGATTGTCAGTCCCATTCTTTTCCTTGCCTTTGACATTAAGGCTCTTTGAATTGAAAGCCCAGGAACTACTGCCTTCTTGACCTAATTGAGATGGGAAACTATCCTCTGCTCATATATAATTATGTTACCCCCATACCAGGTATCCCCTTCCATTGCTTTTGTTGAAGCAGCTCCCTTAAATTGACAATCACTGAAACAAGGAACCACTCATGTCTGATAGCCAAAATGTGTTGATCTAGCATGTTAGTGAAAAAAGCTTTTGCCTACATGCATTATATTTAATTTCTGCTCTTAAAAGGTACTCTGCAATAAGCACTTTCTCTTTCTGAGACAAACTACAGATATTTTCTGATGCTTAGGAAAGCAAAACCCATTTGAAGAAATTGATGCAGAGAAGAAGGCCTTTAACTTGAGGACCTATGAGTGTTAATTTGCTTTACCTTGAATGCACCATTGCCTGCAGGTGGGTGCTGGGACCTGTGTTGGGAAGTGAATAAAGTCAGAATGACTTCTTTATTTCCAACAGAACTTTCCATGTAATAAATCCATTTAAATTCCACCTACTCTCAATTTCACATAAAATGCCTTAAGAAAAAAAGCTTGTATCCTGCTTCCTGGTTATTTTTTTATTTATTGGAAGGGGGAGTTCAATGAAGAAGAAAGAATCACTTTTCATTCAAGTGCTTCAACTTTATGAACTTCATTTGGTGTTAACGTCAATGCAAAATTTGTTGGCTTCAGCAAACTACCAAGTCTACCATACTTGAGGAATGTGAGCCACTCAGCTGTGCATGGCTTGGAAATTGAATTTTGGTACTTTTAAGGTATTAACTTCCTGACTGTATAGAGAAACATCAATTCCATTCCATTGAACAATGGAAACATTATATTTCTGCAGAAATGATTACAAACAGCCAACACATCATCTGGTCATTACCTCACTGGAAGTCCTTTCAAGAATGGCTGGCACCAGGGTGTTAGTATTTGAGACCCCCAAAGTGACTGAAACTTCTCACATTTTTTAAATTATTGGTGGGATGCATTGCATGTAGAGCTAATTGCAGAAGGTCCCTGAATGTATGTTTGGGAAGAGCTGAATTGTGCAAGTTCCCAAAAACCACAAGAATGTGAACTTGGATGGTCATATGCCTGTTCAAGACTTGAGTAACACTTCTGACAATGAAAATTTTCCTCAAAATGTAAATGTAATAGGAAGTTTTCAACATAACTGTTGAAATACCATTCTATAGCCATTTTGGCTCCAATCACAGTGTAGCTGCCTGTGAAGAGATTGTGTCCACTCAGCCCCCAAAAACTTCAATTTTCCACTACACCTTGAAGGTCCAGTATTTAATGCAGGTGGAGTATAAAATTTCTATCACACCTACTTTCAACCTCATCATGAGATTGAAATACCTACATGGAAAATGCCTACAATTTTCAGTGTAGGCCATTCACTGTGTATAAACAATTTAATAAGAATTAGAGAGCAAATTCTGGAATCATTGGCACCATGCCACTCTTTCATTTGAAAAGGTTGCCAATACTTGAATGTGCATAATTGTTCATCAGAATCAGAAATGCAGTCACTAGCATTCATATTCACACGATGAAGCGTCTTCCGAGGTCTGTAATATGTGAAGTGAAACAGCTCATCCAGTGAGATCACAGGGGACAGTCATAGACACTGATGGATTTGTCCTCAGACACTGATATGATCTTCTCTCCACTTGGGTGGAACTTGGCTCTCCAGACCTTTTGCATGAAAACAAGTCAAATTTAGGAAAAAGAATATGGGGAAAAGAAGAGAAGTAACGAGATGGTAGGCTGACCTGATCGGTGTGCTCAGTGAAGGTGTGAACACACTGACGCTGTGCAAGGTCCCAGATCTTCAATGTGTGGTCTGAACTGCTTGAAGAAAAGCGGCTTCCATCGCTCCCAAAATCCACACTTAGGACCCATGAACCATGACCCGAGAGTGTACTTACCAGGTGGGCATGGTTTCTGGCAGGATTCATACAAAGAACAACTCTTAATTCTCTTTTTATAGTCCTGGTTTTAACTGTGGAACTTTGTATCTTTTGCTTGAAATTCAAATATATTGATGATTTTGAAAACCCCAGGATTATGATGGAACTATTACTTGTGTGAGTGGACATATATCTAATTTTGTGAAAAATCAAGAAGGAAAAAAGTAAACAATGAAGATATTGCAAAATGCAGATAACTGAAATGAGATGGTCCAATAAATAAAAATGGCTTTTGAAACAAGAATGTCTATTGCAAAGGAAACTTATGAAAGAATAGATAAGAGAACATACACATCATAGAGCTTCATGTGGCCATCATCAGAGGCAGTGAGGAGGAGTTGACAGTCTGGAGAGAAGACCAGAGATCGAATGGGCATTGCATGACCTGAGAGAAGTTAAAAGAGAAAACTGTTAATTGTGCATTCCTGCCTCCCCGCATGTTCAAATAAAGCAAGAATGGTATGCATTTATATGTTTTTCACCAATTAGAATAAAGGTTAAATCCTAGAGAGATTATTTTCCCTAATGGAGCCAAAAGAGGAGTTAGAAGTGGCTTTTAAAATTCTTCAAAAGAGATGTATACACAAAAGGAAAGGTTTATTTCTATGAAATAATATTCAATGCTAAGAATTGGCATATGGAGAATTTCACTCTGGAGGCCCATTCTCCAAAAGTCTGTTTGGAAGGACAAAGACTGATGTCTGTTTGCATCATGACCCAACTTCATCATATTTTAAAAAAGGGCAAGGCAATCTCACCTGCATTACAAAAGTTCACTTTCCAAATCACTTAGTCATATTGACAATCACATTATTTTATCCATGACAAGTGAAAATTGTGAGAACATCTCAGACATACGTCATGGTAAGAGTCCAGTACCTTCTAGGGTATGAAGAAGTTTCATTGATGACATATCAAAAATATTGATGATTCCATCAATGGCTCCACTTGCTATGAACTTCCCATCAGGACTCTGAAACAAAAGACATCATTACTCTTCATTTCAAGTTGCACCTGGACCCATGCTTCTTCTGTGTGAATCCCTTGTATTAACAAAGAGCCATGGAGAGCAATACATTCACAGGGATGGCTAATTGTGCCAGCAATCAAGTAGTTTTTGACCTGACTACAAAAAGTTCCAAAAAGTACTCCCAAGAATTAGATAACAGCATAAATGATCCCATTTGAGAAACTGAATAAATTCATGCACTGAAAAACATCTGCACCTGAAAAGCATAATGCCACACTCAAGACACTGAAAATATTTTTAGTAGTATATGATCAATCATCTACCAGATACTTCACCATACCTAGTCCTGCCATAAATACTGTTACAAGGTTTTTTGTAATAACTCTGTTAATATAAAACATATGCTGTATTTGCTAACAGCATTTGTTTCCCTTCATAATTACTAACAGATTACAGTAACATTATTCAAAATGTCCACCCCTGGCCTTCACACATGACTTTAAACGATCAGACCACTCGTCAATCACAGTACACACCACGTCCATTGAGATATTGGCTGCTGACTTTGCAAGGGCTTGCTTGAGACTTTCAATATTTGGATGTCTTCTGTGGCAGGCCATCAGCTCCAACTCTGCCCACAGTTTGTAGTCCAGTGGGTTCAAGTCGGGGCTCCCAGATGGCCAATCTGAGGCCCTGATGAACTCTGGGACAATGCTGGTTAGCCACTCCCACATTGTCATAGCCTTGTGAGCAGGTGCAGAGTCTTGCTGGAAGATCCAGTGGCTCCCATTGAACATTGTTTGGCTGAGAGGCTTCACTGTCTTCTCTAAGACATCTTCCTAGTACACTCTGGCTGATGTCTTCACTCCTTGCTTGCAAAAATGCAGTTTGGTGACACCCTCATAGCTCAACCCCCATCAAACCATGACAGAAGCAGGATGGTGACCTCTCTCCACCTTATAGATGACTTCAGCAGCTTCTTGAGAGTTGTGGGCATACACTTGGTCATTTTGCCAGCTAAATTTTTCTTCAATTGTGAAAATTTTCTCATCAGTAAAGAGGATCTTGTGGTGTCAGTTTTGTTCATACCTCTGCAGCAATACTTTCGATCGCAACATCCTGATTTCTTTCAGAGATGGAGTCAGCATGTGTCCTATGCTTCTTCAATAAGCACCCATCCTTAGGTCTGATTCAATCAACCGAGACATGCTTCTAGCTAGTGATGGCCATTTCCCTGGCCATCACTTTCTGCTTGTGGAGAGGATTTTGCCGAATACTGTTGCAAACTACTTTGATGACTTGTGGTGTTCTGGCAGTGTGTGGACTTCCATATCTGGGGCAGTCTCATACTCCCTGAATATTATTGTAACTTTTAATAGCTCTGTAAACAAACTGCTGATTGATTCCAAGGGGCTGCAAAGTCTTGAAAATGGTTAAAGGTTTCTGACCCACACTGTGCAGGGCAATCACCGCTATGCAATTCTCTTTGTCACCCCACTCCATGTTTACTGCATGCAACACAACAGCCAAAATGTTACCTAACAATGTGGTGGATAATACACTGCAGGACTACTAGGTTACAAGATTCTAGCTTCTTTTGCTAGAATGCAAGGAACATGTAAATCTTGTAATAGTATTTATGGCAGAACTGGGTATATCTTCTCTTTGCATACAGATTGAATTTTCATGGCTATCAAGCACTAAGATAATTTTAAAAATCTGGAAAATGCAAAGATACCTCAAAGGAAAGGTGTTTACACTAGGTGTTCATGTAAGATTAAACTTGTGTAGTGATATTATCATGTTTCCTTACACTCTCCTTCCCAATAAACCCAGACACCTTTTGATTACCTCTCATAGCCCTAGTCTCAGTGTTGAGTATGAAAGTAGCTTTTCAGCTGTACCAGGTTGACGCACCTCAGGTTAAAGATACATTACATAGGGAATTACTCATCCCACCAAACCTTTAGGCAGCTTCTACTCACAAAGGCAATGCTGAGGGTGAACTTCCCATTTGTGTCAAGGGTCTGCTCTTGCTTCCCACTCTCCACCCCAAACATGTTGATCTTGCCCGAATGGCTGCCTGAGGCAATAAACCTTGAGTCTGGGGAGTATGACACGGTCCATACATCCACAGGACCTTCCTCGATGTTCCTCAATTCCCTCCCAATGTGTGGATCCCAGATGCAAATCTTTGAATCCAGAGAACTGGATGCGATAGCTGCAGATTGACCAAATGGAAGGAAATCTCTGTTCAACATCTCATCATCCTTAGCAGACATCAATAGACCTGGGCTTACTCTTTCCATCAGGAGCAATGTCAACTGAAACGACTCCAAGTGAATGCCCTTCCAGTGTGTGCACTGGCTTCAGCTGATGGTTTTCCCAAGACCATACCTTCACGGTATCGTCCACTGAACCCGTAACAACAAAATCTCGCAGTTTCTTGTCTTCTTCTTTATCTTCTTCATTTTCTCTAAAGAGAAAAGTAATGAACAGATAAGATAATAGTAAAAATAAACTGGAGGGCTATGATGCACATCTTTGATCTTGCCTTCAGCTTCTTCTCCAACATGGAATACAGACCCAATTAAGGTCTAACATTAGCCAACATTATATGTTGGACCTAAAAGAGTAAAAACAAATAGGCCTACCTTAGTCTACGTAGAACCATTCAAAGGGGCAATTGGCCAAATACATACTTTGCCATGCATTGGCCTAGATTCAGTCAGGGCCAAGCCAAAAACTAAGAATTCAAATCAACTAAACTGTTCAATACAACTAACAAGTTAAGCAAGTTAACACAGTAGTTAGTCATTTCACAGATGCTTCAGTACTATGGGCATGAAAGGCCTACCTATCCAAGGTCTAGGCCTATCGCGTTTGAAAATTTAAGTTTGGGCAATAATTATTTCACAATTATGGTGTCTAAGTTACTAGTCAGATTCACTCACATAGCTTCATTTTCAAGGCCGTTTTCTGTCGACTTTTTTACCTCCTTTTCATACTTTCCCCATGCACACGCCCAGATGCTATCTTCGTGAGCATTCTCCTCGCGATACAGGAGGGAATACTGCGGGAAAAGAAAAGCCAAAATTGAGTGAGGCGAATATTGATTTCTAAACTCGACTATCAATCAACATCAACAAGAGCTCACCATCGCTCACAGTCGGTTGAGACGCCACGTGCGGTCTGACACTGCGATTGGGAGCCGCCACAGTCTCTTTACAGGTTGCCGAATCCATTATAGTCGTCTCCAGCACTTTTTCACGAAGAACTTGTCCTGATTGAGAAAATCACTAACACCTGGTTTTTCTTCCAATTTATCTCCTGTTTTACTCGCAGCCCAATCAAGACGATATCGGATTTATTTCCTCGAAAACTTTATCTTCGGAGTTTTTGACGACAACCGCGTTCGTTTTCACCAAACGAAAACCACGTGACTGTTCTGGTGGGCCTGCAACAGTATGCGATTTTCTCGGGTAATGCTTCAAAGGAAGCAATGTCGGTTTCTGCCAGGAATTCTTCAGAGGAAAAGAGTGTGGGTCAGCGGGCGGCATTAATAGGCGTTTGTGTGACTGGAGGTGCAGGGATTTTGATTTCTATTGTTGCCTGGCCTTTCGTTTCGCCTGCCTTTCGTCGACTCTGCCTTCCCTTCGTCCCTGCAACCAATAGCCAAGTGCGGAACGTCCTGCTCGCTCTACAACACTATCCTAAGAACTCTTCCGTTGTGGATCTTGGTAGCGGAGACGGCAGACTGGTGAGTTCAGGAATGTGCTGAAATGTGCTTTGGGATTCGTCAGCTGTTACCCTGTTGCTCACCTAACTTAGAAAATATCTGAGTTTTATCATTGTCCTCTTCTTTTTCATGTTTAATAGGCCTATTGTCTCTCTTTTTGTAAGTAAGACATGGTTCCTCCAGTGGCAGCTCCTGGTTAGAATGCTGCTGGAGACCTCATGATCATGGCAATGAACATAAATTTATTTTACTGGTGATGAAAGTGTGAAACTGTAAAAGATGTTCTTTGAGTGATGTTGTTTGTTGTACATCTACCCTTGAGTCAGGAATCAGAGAGTCCAACTAAGTAATTGCTTTGTTCAAGCTCTTCACTTATAATCTGTTAGATCTGAAACAAAATTAAGTCTTGTATTGATCACATGGAGGCAACCCAGCACTTTCAAAGCATATCTTTAAGGATTGGTCAATGAATTTCTCTTTGAAAATGGTAAAGTTTCACATCTCAGCTGAATTATATCAAGGTCACTTAAATATTGCAATTATGCAGAATATGTCTCAGAATTTCATTATTGTTACCTGCATTGAAATTGATAGACAATGTGAATCCCAATGCCTTAGTGACTCTCCACTTTTGGACCAGTTTATATCTCTGGGCAGATGAAACACTGGAGGTATGTCTAGTGCTGTCATAGTAGGGAAATGCACTTGCATAATGTGTACTGTCACTGACCTCCCTTACCTAATAAACTGTAACATTGTGTGTGCTGCTGCGTACCACCATGTTTGTCTATGGATCAGAGGAAGTCACACAGTTCTGGTCTGGGCCATTGTTGGTATGAAGTATAGGAGACCAAATTTAGTTTCTTTCACATATAATGGGATTGAATCCAAAATTCCTTTGATTCTCCTGGGGGATTGGATACATTTGATGGGTATCTCAAAGTCTTATCAGAAAATGCATAAAATGAGTTTTTTTGGAACTAGGCATCCTGTTTCTTCTCTTACCAGCTGCCTTGGATGTCTTTTCTTTGGGGTTTATAAATGTATTTTTGTAGTGAATTTTCCTCCCATATGCTAGCTTATCATCTTCCTAATATATCTTTAAGGAATAACTTCTTTCATATGCTTTGTTTCTTGCAAACCTTTAGGCCTAAATTATGAGAATTAGAAGCATATTCCATTGCCTTTCATTCTCATTATAGGTGATTGAAGCAGCCAAGAAGGGCTACAAAGCGACAGGGATCGAGTTGAATCCATGGCTAGTCCTCTATTCACAGTTTTTGGCATTGAAGCATGGCATCTCTAAGTCTCACTGCCATTTCAAAAAGGGAGACTTGTGGAAGAGCAATATAGGATTGTATGATGCTGTCATCATATTTGGAGTGGAAGAAATGGTCCTCGGATATGATTTTCTAGATTTTCACATCTGCCTCCTTTACTAGACTGATTGCTAAATGTTTGTTATAACTCAAATTGCAGATGCCCCAGTTGGAGAAGAAGTTGGTTGAAGAGCTGAGAAATGATGGGAGCGTGATTGCTTGCCGATTCCCACTGCCAAATTCAGTTCCTCTAAAAATTGTTGGATCTGGGATTGATGCAGTGTGGCTCTACTCTAAGAAGTCCTTGGGCAAATCTCTCTCTTGAATCTCATTTCACTAACAATTCTAGTCATCTTGCTGTGATCAGGTTGGTTTCTACTATTTATGTCAGGAACCATCAGATGGTTTATGTATTTTATGTAGCCTTTTTGCTGATGTCAATGGATCTATTCAGTATTCAGCTCCAACCTAGTCTTGGCAAGTGCTCACTTGAAGTAGTTTCATTCCCTCTGAATGGGATGTCTATTGTTCACTTTAATGCATTTATTTTGCTGTCAACCTTCCCTTGTTTAAATTAAATTCAGGAAGTGACTTGCCTATAGATTGATAACTCATTACTGAGTGTTCATATGAGTGAGTTGATGGCTAGCTTACTCAGTGAATCCTTTTTTGGACTTCCACTCAAGCTGATTGCTTGCAGTACTTTCAAGAGATTTCATTTAAAACAAACAGACTCCATTCATAAAGGAATGATCAAAATGAAAGGAAAATACTTCACCTATTGTGTGCTTGCATCAAAGATAAACATATTTCATGATTTGTTCATTTTTTCATTGGCTACAAGAACAGTGACTTCAAAATAGAAATTTTTTATGCACCCCAATCCCTGAGATTATCTTCCAGCAAAATTTTGCATTGATTCCAGTTCTATATTCTACAGCAAAACCAAACACAGACATGGTGCACATCAATGATCTACCTGAAGAGGTGCTTCTCAAGATCTTCTCCCACTTTTCGGTGCTGGAGCTTACCTTGCAAGTAGGTCAAGTGTGCAGCCTGTGGGAGAGACTGGTGGAGACCCCACAGCTGTACCAAGAGGTCTTCCTTGCAGGGCAGGATGGCCTGGATCTAAAGATGAAGGCTGTGGCAGATCATAGTGTTGGCATCATCAAGACATTGCACCTGAGGGAAATGAGGAATGTCCATGGCTTCATGGCAGTGTTTTCTCAGCAGAAGTGCCCAAAACTTCAAACATTTGTAGCATTTCGTTGCAGTGGATTCACCAGTGCAACACTAGAGATGTTGATCAACTGTGCTCCTGACCTGGAGCACTTGGTCTTGTGGAAGCTGCTTTCATGCCCTCTTGTCATGGATAGAAAATTCCTTTTGGGGCGTTTACACATGCTTGTGAGTTTGGAGCTGGCTCTGTCTCCATTGGATGACTTTGATGATGATGCCCTGCGAATTGTTGCTAAGAACTGCCCCAGATTGCAGAACCTGAGGATTGCCGAAACCGACCGACAGCCACCTTTGATCACTGACAAGGGGCTGTGCTCTCTGTTTGCCATTCGGGGGACTTCATTGAGACGTCTTTGCCTCACTTGCCCGAAAATCTCAGATAAGTCCTTTTCTGTGATCCCAAATGCACAAAATTTAGAAGTATTGATTGTCATGGCTTCAATGAAACTCAGCCATACCAGCCTGGATGGTATCAAACGACTCCGTGCCCTGCAGTGCTTGTGCCTTTCTGTTCCCAATGACTTTCGTTCGTTTCCGACTGTGTTTCTGGATGAGAACTTTCCCGATCTTCAAGTTCTCAGCGTGGATTTGCGCCTTGTTTACCTTCCAGACAGCAGTGTGCATGCCATCGCATCTAATTGCCCAGGACTGAAGGCCCTAATTCTCTCCAATGGAAGCTTTGTAACTCATGAGGGAATCAGCATTTTTCTCCGCTGCTGCCAGCAACTGGAAGAACTTAGGCTGGATGGTTTTCCCCTGTTGAAGGCAGGCTTTCTTGCAGAACTCGGCCCAAGCCTTAGAGTGATCTCTGTGAGGAATTGCCCCCTGATGGAGCCACAGTTTCGGGAGTTCAGCCGGAAGCATCCCACTCTTGTGGGCAACCGCTTTTCGCCGTTTCACCAAAGACTTGTGCATTCGTGGCTTGCTGGGCCATTGAACGTCTGAGTACATGTGATCACCTGTGTTCTTGGGAGTTCTCTGGTGTGTGTTGGTGGGTTTGTGTTCTCTGGGATTTTATTATTTTTCCAACCTTTTGTCATCCCTAACACATGTGCTCAAACATTGCTGTACCTCCTCTTACATGGGTGCTAGAAGTGTGTCAAAATCTGAGAGTCAAGAAATAGATCGATATCAGAATATGTGCTTTCTTATTCAATTTTTGTTAAATTTAGTCATTTACCTGGTCACATTTTGTGTCCTGCATTCATATTGATTCTTCATATCATGCATTTGGGTGGGACTGCTGGGACATAGGGACCCATCCCTCATCGGAGAGCCAGTACTGTGCTACTGTGCAGAATACCTTTCCTTGGGCTGGATGCTGCTCCTAGGTGCTATTCGGTCTCGTTCATTTGGCATGCTGTAAAGGAATGAAGGAGCGAGCTTTGTTTTTTTTTTTGCTTATTTTTATTCCATGTAAATTTGTATAATTTTTCATTTTTTCCCCAGAGTCGTTGCTCTTAGTGCGCCATTCAGCGACCTGCTTGGAGATGCTTTTACATGTCTCGTCATGCAGAATTCAGCACCCCTGGGGTGATCATTCTCGAACGCTTCATAGATTCGAGGGAAATACGTACGGAAATCATCATACGAGTTAGAAGGAGTTCCCGTCTGTCTTTTCTCTTCGCGGATGAAGTTTAGGGCCTGCTTTTTCAAATTTAAAAATAATAATCCATTATATTTTTTTAAGACTTTTTATTTTCGAGAAGGAAGGGAGCCTCGAAATATCCACTGAATTGTCGAAATGGCACTCTAGGGCAGCGGTTCCCAAACTGTGGGTCGCGAGAGGCCTCAAGGTGGATCGTGTACATTTCCGCAGTGTAAAAATTATCTATATTCGCATCCGCCCAGGGTAAAACATGCCCTACAAGAAAGGTCGATCAGTTTTCAACGCATGAAGATTACTTTGAAAACAGCTCGCTCTTGATTCCGGTGAGTTGCGAAATTTTTTGTACGTCAACAAGTGGGTCGCGATTCAAAGTAGCGCTGCTCTAGGGTTCGTAGAATTATCTTTCCCTGTTCCCAGTTGGAATGAATTGAGACTTCGAGGACCAGGCCAGCAACCCCTTGCATTCTTCGGCCCATCCAGTCGCTCACTAATCGCGACAGCCCGTCAGGTTCGACAGAGCCTCTTCTGTTTTCAAATTAGGGTACTTCAAATCAGCCAGCAAAGCCTGAAACGATTTCTTCCCGCATTCCAAGAAAAATGTAGCTGGAGACCTTGCCCATCCTGGGAGGGAGAGCGGCAACGCAGCTCTTTTTCTCTAATTTTTCTTCATTCATGGAGACGCCACAAAAGAACATTATCTCGACTTAAGACTTCATTAAGCCCCCTGACGCTTCGTTCGTGCTCGCCAGTGGAAGTCCGGCACCTGGAAGCAGAAGGCAACGGCCTTCACAACGAAAGACGGAAATCTCGTCGATCCCTGGCGGAATTCTCTTCGTAGTATCCCAACCGAAAGGAAGAGAAATTTGAAGTCAAGTTGCTTTTGAAACACTCTGAATACTCTTTTCCCAGAAGAGCGGGATGAACTTGCACGAGCACAAAGAGTGAAACTAAGTATTAGAAAAATAATTCATTAGAAGCCTAGAAGAAAGGGAGAGAAGGCATTCGCCATGCAGGCGAGTCGACCAATATGCCCCGGAGAAGAGAAACTGAGATTCTGCAGCAGCTCGAGAAAACCTCTCATACCGGATGCAAGGCATTGTGGGTCTCCGAAACGGCGATGAGGATTGAGATTCAAGCAGACTGCAGTCAGACCAGTAGTCCCGTATAGAATTTCATGGAACGCCATGGAGTTCTACCGTGCGACTATCGACTGCTCTCGCAACGAAGTCCCGATTGTAACTGGAACCGAACTCTGCTGAAATCAGCCGTTTTTTTAGTTCCACCGTCCAGACCCACGGAATGATTCGATTTTGCGATCTTCACGACGCAATCCCACGGACCGAATAGATTTGCAGCTGGAGGCGAAACCGATTCACCCGGGATGGCATCCTCTCCCGAGGCGCCTTGGCGACGGACGAGGCCGGGAGAGCGAGAGACGCTTGGGCTGTCTGGCGACCGTCGTCTGCTGAAGGGCGGCCCCGAGGACTAGGCCTTAGAAAAGAAAAAAAGAAGTGTGGAGAGGTTTCCAGGTTCGATGCATTCGACTGTGTGCGACGGAATGCGGACAGGCAGAATTGGAGAATTTCACTTGGAATCGCAGGGGCAGGGAGGCGAACATCACCGACGGCGGAGACAGTTCCCCGATGCACCCGGGCATCCTCCACCCCACTGCCGCTGAGTGGAGGATCCCCGCGTTGGTACAGCCCGGTTCACGTCCCACTATTTTCTTTAGACATTCGTGCGGTGGACTTTGCGGCGTTCGTGGGTGTTAGGAGCTAGTGGATTGTTGGCGCGTGAAGTTCGGTGGGCTCTTGGATTTTGGACATTTCTACAATGCCCTTCTCAAATCTCTCGCATTCTGCTTTAACCATGCCAAAACTCATCGTCCATCAGTTGGAGATTAACAAGAACTATGACGGACTTGAGGAACCTATGCTATTACGAGTGGGTTTTTTTTTTTCTTGAGACGCTCCCAAAATATATGCGCTGCGCATCAAGTATAGCGTGCAGCAAGGGAGAATCGGATCGGATCGGCTATATAGATATCGGTCTATGCCGATCCTGGCCGATCCACTGAATATCGGCCGATACCGATACTTTGAATCAGTATCGGTGCATCCCTATTTCTAAGTGGAGTTAGGTGATGTATTTTTGTTATCCAACATAACCTCCAGACACAGGTGTCTGGAGGTTATTGGATTATGATGATAACCTGGAATGTTTTGAACATGGGATATTGGGTAATTTTTAAAATCTCCTTTTAACCATTTACTCTATGTAGAAAATTTTTTTAATTCAATTTCTTTATTTTGTGCCAAATCAACTATCTTGATTATGTTCACTTTCTCAAATGATATTGATTCTTGATGCAGTATATGAATCAGGAATGAAGTTGATGGCATTCCAGTTGACTGACAATAAATGAGACATATTGGTATTTTAGAGTATGCCCAATATAAGTCATGTTTTGTTGCTGTTTCTTAGAGGGACTGTGATGTGAATGACTCTTATGGGTGCAGTGCAATAGGTGGCAACTTGGAATAGAACTTGAAATAGGTTAGTAACTTTTTGCCATGTTTTCAATAGATGTCAGCTCCAGTCAGCTTAAACAATGTAATGCATCATCGATTGAAATGAGTTAAGTAGAATACTTGGTTTTGAGATTATATGCAAGGTATAGGCTATTTTATTAGAGTATGAACTGATATTTTGCATGCTACCAATATGAGGGCTTTTATGGTGGAGGTGGCAAGTCTTTTGATCTCTTTTGAATATGATCTCTAATGGCACTGGAGAGGCTTCATGGGCAGACTATGAAAGGGATTGAGGAGGTTAGAGGAAATTCATCAATAAGAAGTCTTTAAGTTTTGGGAGATAATCATGAGATGATAATTCAAGAATTTATCCTTCTGGTTCTTTTCAACAGATCACAGTGAACCTGCAGCAGTTGAGTAATGAAGTGCTAGTTCAAAATATAATATTTCAGAGGTTATGGTTGAACAAATAAGCAACAGGTTGTGGTATCTTCATCAAAAGCTTGTCATTGGCATTATTTGGACCTGTGGGTTTTATCTTGGAAGTTACTAATGGTAACCTCACACTTTGCTAATTAGTGTTGTCTCTTTGTCACCATTGTCATCCTGAAGAGCACCTTACAAGTAAGAATCCCTTCATCTGGAAAGACTATAGGTAGAAGGAATAGATAAAGAATTCCCCAACTGTTGTGGTGAATCATATCCCTTTCAATCTGACCCTGTCGGAAGATAAGACAATTTTGAAGCTTGGTTTTGTGTTTTGGAACACTGAGTGCTATTCATGATAATCATTGAAGAGAGTTTGTGGAGGCCAATTTACTTTTTTTCTGATTTTGTCCATAGAGTAAATTTTACTAGAACAATCAATGGTCAGGGTTTGTTTTATCTGGTGTGTATAGGTGTATAATGTATGCTTCATCATGTATCTTGTGCATTGTGCATCATGCAGACTTCTGAAGAGATAGCATTTTCCTTTCTCTAAATTGTTCGGTCTGCATGTACCATTTGTATGAACATCAATTGGATTAGTGTTTCAATGTAGTCCAGAAGAGGATGAGAATATTGATGAATCCATCTACACTTTGAAAGCATGTATCTCCTTCACTCTCTCCCTTCTGTTTTTCCTTTCATTCTGGCTGAGTTCATGATCTCCATGTGCCTCCTTTAGATGTTTTCCTATTTTGAATTTTTTTGCATTCAGTCCAGGAGGAAAAATGTAGATTTCAGTTGAATTATTGCCCCACACTCATGTGGGGAAATACTTTTAATGAGCACAAACCATTAGCAACTCTGGTGGCACAATCTGCTTGGGATGCAGCTTGGAAAGAGCCGAGTGTGCAGCTGTGAGGGAGAGGAGAAAATCAACAGAATCTCAAGTGGGAATGTCGCACATCTTGCAACTGAGTAGCAGCAGAGAAAATAGAATAGAAGCGCTGCTGTGGCTCAGCTGTGCTGGAAGCTGGTCTGCCCTGCTGCACTGCAACAGAACATATGCTTCCAGCTCAGCTGGATCACAGCAGAGTTACAGTTGTGATTCTCTTCTATTTTCTCTGCTGCTACTCAGCTGCAAGATATGTGACATTCCCACTTGAGAATCCATTGATTTTCTCCTCTTTCCCATCTGCATCCCAGTCGAGTGTACTATCTGGGACTTCCCCTTTCCTCCCCTTCGGGTAGAATGTTCCATCCTCCCCTAGAAATGATGACACAACAGTTAGAATCATTGTTTGTCAACGTGTGTTATAGCTTTTTGTAGATAATATAACTTCGAGCATGCAAGGGGCTCTCAAAAGGAGGATGAGCTTGTTTATCGCCTGGGCACCATGATTCTGTCTCGAATACGGGGATAAGAAATGATTAAGTGTCCGATTTTATTTATTGCTATAATGAGACTAGGAAAGACATATGGTGAAGTACTAAATACTCCTGTGAGGGACGATTCCATGGAAAGAGGGAAGTGCGCTTTTGAGTACTTTGAGAAAAGCGAGGTAAGTTC